GTTTTAGTAAGTAAAAGACAAGCAGGCATATCTATTAGAGTAGATCTGTTAGTTAATTGTTACATGTATGAAAAATTAATCTCTGCTAAAATAAATAGTGGTTTGGGGATGACGACCTCTCTTTTTCAGACAGGGAATTCTTAAACACCAATTAAGCTGGCCAATTCTTTAAACAATTTGAGGATATATATCTTGAGCTGACTTGTCTTGGTGGATCTATATTCAAACTCAGAGGTTAGATTTAGATTTTTCATAATTGAGGCAAACAATAATACTTATCTTCAGTTGTTACAAATGAACTTTCCTTGAGCAAACAGTATCATACAAAAGATACTATGTTTGGTTTGCTTTAAATAACCCATGGTGGGTAGAGGAGGAAATAACATTCTGTGTGTGTGTGTGTGTGTGTGTGTGTGTGTGTGTGTGTGTGTTACTGATGAAACAAGAGTGGCAAGAGTTGGAAAGTGAAGTTTGGAAATAGATTCATAGGATTTCATTAGACTTTTTTCTTGATTTTTGTTATATCTGGAAATTTTTGTAAGAGTAACGTTAAGAACCTGGCTGTACCACACAGCAGCCTGAGCAGGTCCCAAATGAGCATTCATTAGAATGCTTTGCCATATTCAAAACATTTCAAAGAGAATTTTTTCTACTGTTTACAGGCATATCTGTGCATTATGCCCAAGAGAAGATAGTTTTAGCTCTGAGCAGTCAAGAATCTCAGTTTCATATGTTTTGTGCTCTCACATCAGTGTTATACACCTAATACTGCCACTTTGGGTTCTATTCAGAGCATTTGTTTTGGTTTCAACTTTAACCCTAGTCAAAATAATACATGAAATGACAAAATTATATACACATGCGCACACATACAGAGTTATGTATCACTTAACATCAGGGGTACATATGTTCTGAGAAGGGTGTCCTTAGTTGATTCCATCAGAAAGTGTAACTGCACAAACTGACTACAGTGTCACTAGGTGACACAATCTTAGGCACCACTGTTGTATATGTAGTCCATTGTTTTTTTTTTTTGGTACCGGGGATTGAACTTGGGTCCTTCCTCTTGCAAGGCAGGCGGCGGAACCACTGAGCTAAATCCCCGGCCCTATGTAGTCCATTGTTGACTGCAATGCTGCTATTCAACACATATCTGTATATATACATATACATATATACTATCATATCTCTTATAAATAAAACATTTCATATGTTCAATTTTATAATAGTTTCAGGCTCACAATAAGATGCTAAAATAGTAAAAGAGTCCTTGTGTACCTCCCAGCCACCTTTCCCCAGTGATAAAAACCACAGTACATGAAACAACTGACATCTGAAAGATCCAATCCATAGCTGTGGGATGTTTCAGTTCATCAAGCTCTCTAAGATTTATTCTTGAATATAAACCCCTAGAAAACAAAATACTTGAACCATGCTAACTTAATTTTCACAGGAATGCTTTATATTTTTGATTTTATATTGATTGACCAAAAATAATTTTTTAATGCTTAAAGACTATAGTCAGAGACTGTCCACTGTTACTCAACATTCCTTTCATAAAGATCCATGCGATAAGTTTTGCATAGAATTTAGTGCTAGGGAAAAGTCTGTTTTTCCAGGAAACAACTTCCTTTTGCCATATAATGAGAACTATGCAAGCTGTTGTATTTTTTTCATTTCCCTTTCTGCCTTGACTATTAGAGGTACTTGAGGACATAACTATAGTAACTTAGCTCATTGAGTATTTCTTATGTAATTCTTTCCCCTCTCCCTTTAAATAGTTTCTCATCGTTTTTTCTTTAATTGTACAGCTCCACAATCCCTTATCCACAATTCTAAAATGCAAAAGATTTAAAAATAGAACACTTTTTTAAATTTATGAAGCTTAGTGTGAATATTCATCTGTCACTACAGAATACTAATGTGTTTGATTCCAGGGCACTGTCCTCGACCCATCTGGGGATGTTACATAATATATAGCATGCTCTTTCTAAAATCTGAAAGAGTCTGAATTCTGAATTGTAGCTAACCCTGAGGATTTCAGCCAGGCACTGTGGACCTGAGAGTGAATGTGGGAAGGCCCTTACAGATCCTTTGGACAGCAGATTATGTGGCATGGAGAGCTTCCCAGAAGGCCATGGGTGGATGTGACCTGATATAGGAGGAAGGCAAAGGGAGACTGGTTATGGCTGCCATTGGTCCCTTGACCTCAATGCCCATTTCCCATTACCTGTCTCTGAAACTTCTTGTGGTTGGGTTTTCTTGGACAGTTTCAGAGCTGCTTCAAGGTCATAGACTTGAGAGCGAGTGAACTTCAGCTCCCTGCGGAGCTCATTAATTTCCTTGATCAGAGAGACATTTTCCTTCAGAAAAGTAGGAAAGAGAGTGAGTATGGATGAATGAATGGTTGGCACAGAGCATGCCCTCCAGAGGTTGAGGGGTGAGAATGTGCAGGGTAGAGTCTGGATCCAGTTTAACTCTTTGGATCTTCTATGGGGGCATAATTTTTTTTTTAAGATGAGGTATAGCTATGTTGTCCAGGCTATCTTTGAACTCTTGATCTTCCTGCCTTAGCCTCCAAAGTAGATGGGATTTTAAAAATCCTTTTATTGGTACATTTTAGGTGTACAATATAATGACATTCATCATTGGAGATATGCACCTTTACATACTCTCTTGGTTCTTATTTTTTCCCCTCTCCCCTGCCCTTCCTTCAACCCCTCCATCCCTCCCTATTAAAGTAGATGGGATTATAGGCCTGTGCCACAGCACCTAGAAGGGCGTGTTTATCCTGCTCATTGCTCAGCCTCTTCACTTACTTTCAGGTGGACTCAGCACCATTCCCATCCATCCTAGCTCTTTCAAATCAATAACAATGCTTTCCTAAGCAATTTTATATGACTTTAATGTATTTAAACACTGTAATAACCCTATGACTGGATTCCATTACAATCACAAGGACTGACTGGGTCCCTGCAACATATCAAACATTTTGTAAATATTACTTCATTTCATCCTTGCTATAACCTTATGAAGTGGGTTACTATCAGATGCATTTTTGTATTAGGAAGTGAGGCAGTGCATAAATAGTAGAGAGTGCCCTATTTCTCTGTGATTACTGCCTCCCAGACTCTACTTTCTCACCTCCCATTTATATTATCTCTGTTCCAATACCTCCATTCCAATACCTCACATTATAGTAGCCAAAAACACAGTCAAAGGTACAAGTTGGGGCCCCTAAAAACAGGTTTCCAGGGTATCCTGTGTTCTGAAGAGTACAGAGATCACAGTGAGGGCAACTGCATATGCCTTGTGTAGCTTTGTGAACTAAAAATGTGAACACAACAGGCTTGCTGAACCTTCTGTTTGTGATTTCTCCCTTGTCAACATGGCCTACAAAAATCCTCCAACCCTCCAAACTTCCACCCAGCCTGTCAGCAGCCGGAAAATCTGACCTGAGGTCCCTCAAGTGCTGAGACTGGAAATGTGAGAGAGAGTGGATGGGAGATGCCAAGGTTCATTTATATAGAGATTTCTATGTTGAGCTGAGCAGGACTGCCTTAGGCCTTTGGAAATGCCTGATGTCCCTGTTAGATCTTTCAGGGATTCATGCTGCGTAGAGAAGAGATGGGAATGTCGGTAGCACCCCCTACTGGCTGGTGCTAGCTCATGCTTTTAAGAATAGGGGAGAGCCTCACAGTGTGGAAAAACCAGGCAACAGATGCGTTTTGTGAACTTGAAAGCTTTGCATCAGTGGTGTCTTTCTGGAACCCACAGTAAGTGGGATGGCCATCTGTCCAACTGCACGAGTGAGTTTCATCCTGGAATCCTCCTCCACTCTTTTTGCCACCTCTCTCCCATGTCTAACCCGGCATTTCCGTTTGTCATTCCACTCTTGAAATACCTTTTGACATCACAGTATTCCTCTTTCCAAGATGTTCTCATTTATCCTTCACATGACACCCGTCTCCTAACCAGCTTCCCTGCCACCTGTCTTTTTCTTCACAGTCTGTCCATTTTGCCCACGGAGTTTATCTTTATGAGACAAAGATAAAACATGCCTGCCTACTCAAGAAGCCTTGGGAAGAGTCTGTGTTCATGATGAACTTTATGTTTCCTGGCACGATGTGGAAAGCCCTTTCCAGTATGACCTAGGATTCTATGGGCTCTTTCCCTCCATCCCAGATGATCTGGAACTAACTAAGGTCTGTGGACTCACAGGTCTGCAGTCACTCCTTCCAAAACCAAAAAACCTTTCCTCTACTTTTTCTCAGCTGTTCTCTCTGCCTGGAAGACTCTTCTCCCAGCTGGTCCTTAAGCACCACCCTGAGCTCAGTTCCACTGCCACTTCCTCTCAGAAACCTTGCTTGAGTCCTCAAGGCACACTTGATCTCTGCTTCCACCGTGATCTCACAGCATTGGATACACTGCATGGACACTGTATGGTCCAAGTTGCCTAGGAGGAGCTCTCTGAGGGAAGAAACTCTCCCATTCATTTTGGATCTCCCATGGCTGACACAAAGCTTGCTGCGTAAGAAGCACTAAAAAAATGCTAACTAAATGAACGGAACGTGCCCTAGATGTTTCTATGTCACTGTAACTCTGATTTCCATATCTGCCAGTATGCTGAAGAATGTTGCAGGGAGGCCTGGAGCTCCGATCTGGATATACAAATGAGATAGCGACCTCATTTTTTGTTAGATTTAATGAGTATCTCTCAGATGCCATGCCCATCCCAGTCTTCCTGTTTTGAGATTGAAGTGCCAGGACCCTGGTAGCTGCAGACACAGCTCCAGCCAGGTCCCAACTAACCATGCCCAGGCAGCAGGAGCCCCTGGCTACCAGCAGAGGGGATGGAATCAGTTGTTCTGTCCTCTTTTTCACCCTCAAACCAGTCCCCCCCAACCATGTGCTTATGACAGGATTCTAGACTCTCCCACTGGAATTCAATCCTGGTTCTTGAATATGTTTTTTGCTGGGCAGAAGGGAAGGGAAATGGTATTTTTGAGTGCAGACTGTGTACCAGATGAGTACCTAATGCTTTATCTCATTCAATTCTCACAGTACCACTGAGGTTAGTGTTTTATCCCCTTTTTACAGGTAAGGAGGTAGCTCCTGGAGAAGCCAAGGAATCTACCCTCAGCTTCCTGGTCAAATTGTAGCAGAGGGTGCATAACATGGATCTACACCGAAGCAGTACCACTCTCTTTCACACCCTGGGTAGAAACACCATTCCAAGCCTAAGTTTGCCTGTGAGGAGGCCCTGCCACTTGGCCCGGCCCTGGCCCAGGCTTTCTTCTTCAACTTTAAAAGAAGGAAAATATTTTTAGCATCCAGAACAGTGGTTGAAAGATTTTCTTTTAAAAAAATCTTAACATTTTGCAAACCAAATCTTACATGGAGCCTTACAATGATCAGCAAGGAACCTCTCTGGTCGAGAGTCCTGTCCTGGGCCCTCTTTCTGCTCCCTGCAGTTGTCTAAGCCTCTTTTCTGGGTCCACAGGACTGGACGGCACAGAGGTTTAGGATGCCACTGAGAGAACCCTTTTTGGGGTGCTGCCCTTGTTGCTAGCTCCCTCTGCTGACCACAGATGAGGGGCAGGGCTGGGCAGGAGTCCTGCCTGGGTCTCTGTTCCCCAACTTCTCTGTGACTGAGGGAGGAAAAAGTGGGGTCTGATTCATGCCCCAACAGCTCATGCAGATAGATGCTTGTGCCCGTCAGCCTGCATCTTCACTTTTCCTTTTCCTCCTAGGACAGACTTTTGCTTTGGATACCTGCTTGGCTAGGAGAAAAGGAGGACCTCTCAGGCCCATGTGTCAGTGGCAGGGCACCAAAATGAGCTCAGCCATGTCACCAGCTGACAACTGCTCCTCTGTCCTATTGCCCAGCTTGCTGCACGCCAGAGGGGCTTCTCCATGCTCCAGGACATTGTGGTCCTTAGCTAGGGCCCTTTGTGGGGCTGCTGGTACTAAGGGTCCTACCAACTGGATCTACTCTTCTTTGTGGACCTTTGACTGCTTTTGTGGCTCAGAGTAGGGCAATGGTCTGATGAAGGGGGTTGGGAGCAGACGGTAAGATGTGAGAGCGGCCATGGATTCCAGTGTGCTCTGCCCAGCTGTGTCTGGAATGCCAACCTAGGATCTGGTTTCAACCCAAGTACAACCTGTCTTCATTCTAACATTTTAATTAGGACATTAAAGAAATATAAATATAAAGAGGTACATGCTTTATAAATGTGATTCTGATGTTCTCTTCTGATATTAATTTACATTAATTACCGCAGATGATACTGACACCCAAGCAGAAATCTGGCAGAAGCATCCCAACTGGCAGTGCTGATAAGGTGCTTAAATGGGGGTGGTGGTAATGGGTCCAGGCTCTCTGCACAGCCCTGCATAGGATCCTGGGAGGTGCATGTGGAAAACTCATTAAATCAGAGCTAGGAGTAGGATGAGGTGGGGGTAGGAGGTGACTCAGGAAGGTGTGGTTTTCTGTGGACGGAGATAGGGGTAGAGACCTGAGGCACCAGGAAAAGGAGATGAGGCAGGTGCAGACAGGCACGGGCCAGCAGGGAGGAACTGAATAAAAAACAAGGTAAGGTGAAACAAGCATTGGGAACACAGGAGACAAGAGGGGGACAGTGACTCAGGACAGCTGAGATGACCTGGATGTAGGTCCCAAGGGACTGGCGGTCACTGAGAGGAGCGAGAGAGGACACAGGCAAATAGATGGGATGGATGGGAAAAGGAACAGCGGTGGCTGAGGTGGGGGGATCGGTGGGCATGGAGATGCCTGGAAAGACTGTGGTGGGCTCTTGGCCATGGTCACAGCCAGGATGGCTTCTGGGAGGTCAGAGGAGAGGAGCCAAAAGAAAGTCATAGAGAAAGCTAGTGGGTCCCGTGGATATCTGGGGAAGCCCCAGGCTGGAAGTCTCAGAGGGATTCTCGACCACTTTCCCATCTCTGACAGCTCAGCCTCCCAGAGAGAGGTGTGTGTGTGTCGTACCTGCATGATGCGAACGTAGTCTGTACGATGCAGCTCACCCTCCTTAACCACCTTCTTCTTGAGAGTGGCCAGGTTCCTCTCCAGATGTTCCCGTTGGCGGGCATACTCCTGCTGCAGGTCCGTGTTCAGCCCTGCTACCTCCACCTGAGAGGGTGTGGGGGATTCTCAGTGAGGGAGGGGAGGCCATGGAACACACAGGCAGCACAGGGCAGTGCAGGACAGGGTGGCAGGGGAGGCTGCTCACCATGTCTGCCCGCTGCACATACTTCTCAAAGAGACCTCGGATCTTCTCCTTCAGCAGGTGGGGTTCCTGGATATAGGCCACACAGTTGTGAAGGTCTGTCTTAAACCGTTTAACCAGAGCTTCCAAATCCCGTTCCTGCAATTGGATGTTTACTTCTGTTGAGGAGTAGAGGCTGCAGGCAGAGGCTACTGGCACAGAAAGGGACAAGAGGAGTCTCATCTGGGACTTAGAGCTGACTACCATAGGCATGGAAACCTACATGGGCACAGATCGGAGAGGATGGCACTGAAACTTTTGTGTTCCTGCTGGGGCTGGGTAACTGGCCTCATGGCCTCAACAGCCTATGTGGCTCAGTGCTTCTTTTTCTTCCCTCCCTCCCTTCCTCCCTCCCTCTCTTCCTCCCTCCTTTCCTTCCTTCCTTCCTTCCTTCCTTCCTTCCTTCCTTCTTCCTTTGCAGTACTGGGGATTGAACCCAGGGTCTTCACACTGAGCTATACCCCAAGATCTTGATTGTTTTTTCTTTTGAGTCAGGGTCTCTCTAAGTCTCTAAGTTGCCCAGGCTGGGTTGCAATCTTCCTGCCTTAGTTTCTAAAGCGCTGGGGTTACAGGTTTCTGCCATCATTCCTGGCTCCAGTGCTTCATTGTAAGAGAACACACACACACACACACACACACACACACACACACAGCTTCCTTAATTGGCTCTGGAGTCTTTTCAGAACTATAAGTTTTAAAAGATAAAAGGAATCTTAAGCAGCCACCCGTATTCCTTTAGAGTCAAGATAGATGATATCATTTCTCTTCTGCAGATCCCAGCCAGGGTGTTCATGTTTCCCTCATGAGCTTTCCCAGATGGTCAGAACTACTGCTGTGAATGGGTGGGGAGAAAACTCCACAGAATAAGGCAGACTGCTTCATCTATACACGAGGGCTAGCTCCCTCTTTCCAATCATGATTTCTTTGAATCCCGTCTTTCACTAACGTGATTTACAGAGGGTCTCTCTTATCTCTTTGATCCCATGCCTTTTTTCCACATTCCATAATTTTCCACTGTGCATTATACTATGCACATGCTATAAAACACTTATCAGCATCTCCAGCTTGTGAGGGGCAGGATCTGTTCAGTTTATATCAGTGCTAAAGCTTGTAGTATCATCCTGTGCAGGAGTAAACGCTTGATGTGGAGGGTGCAAACATTCAATCTGATTCAGCAAACATTATGGGGTGGCCTGCAACAGGGAAAGTGGTACAAGCATACCATGGCACAGGAGCAGAAGACCTGGTTTCCTGAACTGACTCTGTAAGCTAGCTATGGGTGTTGGGTAAAGTTTAACTTCCTACTTTTTCTGGCCTTACTTGCCTTATTTATATCATGAAGAGATCAGTACCAGATCTCTGAGGTTCTCCTAGCCTCACCAATCCACTGACTACACATGATCTGTCTGGGTAGGTTCCTTCCTAGGCCAAAGAAGCCAAAAGTTAAGAATGTTTCTGTGAAACCAGCTTACCACCCTGATCACTGTACCCTTTATACTCTTGGTTGGCCTCAGTCATGTACCCCTGCATGGGCCTGAAATCAGGCAGGGCTGTGGGAAAGAAAAGCATGTGAGTTAAAATGGGAAGTGTATCTTAGCAATGGGCTGGCTGTCTCTAAGAAGCCAGCTGTCCAGTGCAGGAAGGTGCCAGATCCTGAGTCCAAGAACTGCCAGACTCTGAAAATCCTCACACCTTCTGTCTCTCTTTGCGCATCTCCTGATCTGTGGCTCTCAGTTTCTGCCACAGCTCTGTGATGTTCAGCTCCAGTTGCATGTTCTGTTTATGGAAACGCTCCAGCTCAGCTTCCATCTACAGAGAAAAGGTAAAAAGAGTGAAGCACAAGAAAGCAAAAGAATGGAACTTATATTTAAGAATTGGAAACTTAACGGAAAAAAAAAGAGGTGGAATCTTTTGGTGAGAATAGTCCCTGATACCAGGGCATTCTTCTCTAGTTCTCATGTATCTCCTCTGGAATAAAACCTTTCTTACTGATTCTTGCCAGCCTGAAAGCCCCTCAATTCCTTGACTGGTGTCAACATAGGGCCACACATTTCTGTGGCCAAGTTAGGAGGTTTCCTTCTTAGTCACCTTCCCTTTCCTTAACCATGCTGATTCTTTTCTATTCTTGTATTCCGTCTAACCTTGTAACTCTCAAGTACTGACATCTCAACTACTCTGAGGCAAGGTTCTCTGGAGAAGAACCTTCCTATCCTGCTTTGTGAGGTTGGATGAGTGAAACTTGACCCTTGGGAGGTGTAGTCATTCTAAAGCACAAATTAGGGGTAGATTCTAAAGCAGAGTTTTAGGGGACCAGCATGGCATGGAGCCATCCCCAATCTAAGGCATAAAACAGGAAAGAGGAAGCTCAGAAGGAAGCTCTGCTTCATCGTTCTGTTGAATCAAGAAACTACCAATGAGCTTCTGAAAGATTTTCAATTCATCACTGCATTCCTATTAACCAAGGACATGTGACTATTAACTGGAACTTTTTTTTTTGGTACCAGGGATCAAACTCAGGACCTTGCGCTTGCAAGGCGGGCGGTGGAACCACTGAGCTAAATCCCCAGCCCAACTAAAACTTTTAATCAGGATGAGACTGTGTGTGAGCATTCGGTAGACCTAATTCCTGCCCAGAGCAAAGGGTAATGTTTTATTTGCACACAAACTCTGGTGGACACTAGTATTCCTGTTAACAGGGAGGTGGGAATGGAATAGTTCTTTTATGTGTGTGTGTGTGTGTGTGTGTGTGTGTGCGCGCGCGCGTGCGCGGCTGGGTGGGGTGGCCTCAAAACTCTTGTCTCTTGTGGGGTAGTAGAGGCTTTACTGAGTCACATTCATGTTCTGAACATGAGAAAGCAGCTTTTAGAAGATTGTTTTCTTCATTATTAGAGACATTTTATTATGGCATAAACATGCCATTCAATAAATATTTCTGAATGAATGAATGAATAAATGAAGTATGGAGGGCAAAGGGAGCAATAGTTAGGGATGTGGGAGGGGTTGGAAACACCTGCCTCTGGAAGAGTAGTGATAAGGTAAACAAGTAGTGCTGGCAGAGCTATGTAGAGCCACCCTATAGAGAATAGACAGCAAGGGTGAAGACTGTATGTGTACAAGTACGCGCTCATTAGAAAGGGCTGTCCAGCTGTCATAGGCTTAGGGTATAGAAGTGATTAAGCAGTGGCTTCTGTCTTCAAGAAGCTTTGTCTAGGGGGATAAAAGAAGTAAGTCAGATGTTAAGGTGGAAGGGGATAAACAATGTATTCAAGGTAGAAAGTGTCCTGTGCATGTGCAGGGGTGATGAGCAGCTGGCCCCCACAAAAGGGACACATCGGCAGGGTTTCATAGGAAGAGCAAGAATTGGAGGATGAAAGGGGAAGAGAGCTGCAGGTAGAGAACAGCCTCACACAGAGGATCAGAGGTTGTGGGCATCCTGGTGCATCTCTGAGGCTGCCAGGGTTCAGGTGGCTGCAGGAGGGGCACTGCAGGATGGGAGGGAGGAAGGGCTGGAGAGGTCACCTCAGCTGGGTAACACAGGGCAGAGACTTGAGTGAATGCTCAGGGAGCCGCTGAAGGGTTTTTGACAGAAGTGCAGGAGTGGACTGTCATCCTAGAGGGCCTGATACAGAGGCTTTACTAGAAAGAACAAGACTGGAGCCAGGCAGACCAACTAAGAGGCTGCTGCTGGGGCCCAGAGAGATGAATGTCCTAGACCAGGGATCTGGCAGCTGGAAGAGGGAAAGGGGTTTTTCCAGTTTGCAGGGCTCCTGAGGGTCATGTCTGAGTGCTTACAGCTGACTGTGCCTCTTTCTCTATTGTTTACCTCTGTTCCCCCCTCCCTCTGCAAAGGCTCAAATTACTCTGAGAATAAAAATTATTCATTTTATACAAAAATTGTGAAATTTGAGTATCTGTACCACCGGAAGACTGGCTTTTCCTTTCCCAGCATGGAAATTCCATTTACTTTTCCATATACTATTCTTCATGATTCTCAGTGATTCTCATTACCAGAGATATCTGGCAATGTCTGCAGACATTTTTGTTTGTACCATCCTGGGCAGGGGGTGCCAATGGCACGTAGCAGGTAGAAACCAGGGATGCTGCTAGATAGCCTGCAACGCACAGGACAGCTCCTCCACAGCAGAGAATTTTCTATCCCCCAATGTTAACCGTGTTCATGTTGAGAAGCCCTGCACTAGATGAGTAAATGAGAGAAAACTAAATCAACAAGGATCTAGAAACCTCTTTCCTAGGAAGGGAGGGGGAATTGGAGTTGACGGAGGAGCTACCTGAATCAAGGAAGATTATGTGTTCATTTACAGAGATCCCAGCTCTATCCCTGAGCCAAGAGCTTTCGGCTTCCTTCCCCTAGGAAGAGGAACTGCAAGGACTCTTAGAAGAAAGCTCCAAGGTCAGAGGCTCCTGGAAGGAACCAGGCCCATGAGGGGAGGCTGACAGGTGAACACCTGTAATAAGGAAATTCAATGCGTAGGGAGTGCAGGGGACAAGAGGGAACACTTATACCTCACTGGACTCTTAGAAACCTCTGTCTAACTGATCTTGCTTTTAATCTTTTCCCTCTCTACCTTTATCCTGTTTGTTTCCCAGGACACATTTTACATTGTGCCGCTGTCCAGCTAAAGAGCCTTAGATGACTTCCATTCCTTATCAGATGAAGTCCAAACACCATGCCCTTACCGAGGGCCCCACCAACACTTGTAGTTTGAGAAGCAAGTGGAGCCCGAGGGAGTGTGTTTGGCAAGAAAGAGCCTGTTGGCTGAGTACACGCTGCCCTCTGGTGGCAGAATGCCAATAGCTGTGTCTTTCTTTTGAACATAGACCTGTACACTGCGGTGTGGGCAGGGCCAAAGCCCACCTCAAGGCCTTGCAGCAAATTAAGTCCTGAAACACTGTGCTTTTGGACAACTGAACCCTCAGTTGGGCCAGGGTCTTCCAGGGCATCCTATGTGGAGGGGGTAGCGGCATACACCCTGGGAATAGAGAGGAGCTGTGAGAAGAGTTTTCTGTCATTCTTTTCAGGCCAGCCAGGGACAGTGGAGGAGGAAAAAGGGCCTGAGAGGTCAGGATGTCGCAGATGGTTCTCACCTCCTGAATTTGTTCCTTCATCACCTTGATCTCAGTCTCTCGCGGTTCTATTTGCTTCTTCAGCTCCTTTATTTTGTAGTCGAGCACAAACTTGAATTTCTCTAGTTCTTGATTTTTCTTTTTCAGATCATAAATTCTCTTTTCCTGGGGGTAGAATGAAAGAGAAGTGTGAGATATCACAAGGCCCTGGTACATGAATCACTTTAGGGCAAATAACATAAATTCTGTGACTCTCCCGATTGAGGAGGCTATAGACTTCTCACTGGGGTACAAAGGCCAACTGCCCCCTACCCCCCAGCTGCAGTACTAACTCCTTTGCTTCTGTGCCAGGAGCTTCATTCATTCACTTGCTCATTCACATGTTGGTTGTTGATGACTATATCTCCCATCCTACATTGCAGCTCTTCTACAATATGGCCCTACACTTCTCTTAGGAGATGGAATCTAATTCCCTTCCTTTGCTTCTGTCTGGATTTATAACTTGTTTATAACCCAAAGAATGTAACTGGAGGGCTGCTAGGTCAGAAATCCAAGCATCTTCCACCTGGCTCTCTTGGGGGAAGCCATCTGCTATGTAAGAAATTTGACTGTACTGCTCTGGTTGAAATTTGACTGTAGAGGCTCTGGTTGAAAGACCCACCCTCCCAACCTCCCTTCCAAAGCGCTGGGCATATAAGAGAAGAAGCTACCTTGGATGCTGATCCTCCAACTTTCAGCTGTTTGAGTCACCCTTGATATCCTTGATATGTCCCAGACATATCAAGAGCATATCAGACAACAGGGGCAAAGCAAGCCATCCTGTTGTGCTCTGTCCAAATTCTAGACCCAGTCAGGTGTTCAGAGGTGGAGCTTTTGGAAAGTGACTGGATCATGGGAGCTCTATACTCATGAGTGGATGAATCCATTGATGAGCTTATAGCTGAATGGGCTGTTAGGAGGGGAGGCCCAGTTGGAGGAGGTGGATCACTGGTGGCATGTTTTTGGAGAATATATCTCTCACTCTGGTTATTTCCCCTTTCTCTGCTTCCTGGCTGCTGATTTGAGCAGATTTCTTCTACCAGGCCCTCTGCCATCCATGTCTGCCTTGGAGCCAGCTGACCATGGACTGAATGAACCCTCCGAAACTGTGAGCCAAAATAAATCTTTTCTCCTTTAAGTTGTGTATATCAGGGCCGGGGATTTAGCCCAGTGGTTCTGTCACCTGCCTCGCAAGTGTAAGGACCTGAGTTTGATCCTTGGTACCAAAAAAAAAAAAAAAAAAAAGTTGTGTATATCAGGTACTTTGTCTCAGCAATTAAAAAGTGATTAATGCAATTGTTGCTTTTCATTACTAAGTTTTCAGGTGATTCAGTGCACAGTAACACTAATTGTAACCTGAGTCTATCCAACTATCAAACATTTACTGAATGAAGATCTTTTGCCAAGTACTAGAATTCCAAATATAAGTATGATACAGTCCCTGACATTAAGGATAGAACACTAACTGTGAAGGTAGATGTGTAAAACAAACATAACCCTAAGATGTGACAAATGTTGCACAAGAGGGAGGCACAGAAAGCATGATATGAATTTAGGGTGCTAAGAATGACCCATTTGAGTGTCAAGTGGTGAGTCTCAGGGGAAGTGAGAAATGAGGCTGGGAAGATGGTTGGGGGAAGCAAGGATCTTGCATGTGGGGATGAAGAGTTCAGAATTTATCCTCTAGGCCAGGGTTGGCAAACTCAGCCTGGGGGCCAAATTTGGCCTGTTTCATAAAATTGTATTGGAACAAAGCCAAATTCATTCATTTATATTTTGTTTGTGGGTGGTTTCACATATGGTGCCCATAGTTGATTAATTGAGACAGAGACCATATGGGCTGCAAATCCTAAAACATTTACCATCTATTCTTTTGTAGAAAAAGCTTACTGACTCCCACTGTAGGCCATGAGGAGCTACTAAAGGATTTTCAGTGGGAGAGTGACATAATTACACTTGCATTTTGGCAGCTATGGTGGTGGGGACCAGGGGTGTGAAGTGGGAAGGCCTGGCTAGGAGACTGTTGCAATTTTCTAGGTCAGGAGGCCTTGGTCTCTTTCTTTTCAACAGTCTCCTCTTTAAGAATCTGAAGAGAGCTTTGTGTTTTCCCCCAGAAACCCTAGATTCATATACAACATTTATATGCAGGCATGATTCCATGTAATCCTAAAAAGACCTCTTGAGGTAGTTGTCATACACATTTTACAAGTGAGAAAATGAAGGCTTAGAGAAGTTGCCAAAGTACAATGCCCAGCAAATAGAAGGACCTGTGCTGGAATCTGCTTATCTAATGGTAAACCCCATGGTCATTGACAGGAGAATTGTGTCTGGCTAAAGCAACAGACACAGAGTTGATGGAGAAGAGGGCATGCAGTCTGGATTTGCTCAGGAGGATGATTCTAAATTCTGGATATTGAGGTGTTATGCCTCCTGAAATGTGTGTTTGTCTTCTGAGTGTTTTCTGAGAAAGTGGCTTCCTGGGGGAACCCAGTGGTTACAGGGCCAAGCCCAGGAGAATTCCTCCCTGACCAGGGTACCATGTGGGAAATATGGTAGATGAGCTGGCCTCAGTTGGCAGAGATGTGTCACCCTAGGATGCCTGAAGCCGTGGAGGGCAGGGGGCTTGGGGTCTGTTGACTCAGGTTCTTAACTCAAGCCTATAAACTATGTGACCTTTGACAGGATACTCAAATCTTGTGGGACTCAGTTTTCTGAGCCATTAACATGGGCTGCTCACATCCTTGGGCTGTTGGCAGAATTTAGTGTGATGTGTTGACAGTAATTAGCCTGGTGCCAAGCACATAGCAGACACTTCACTGACCCTCATTTCCACCAAGTTAGACATGTATTCAGAGAGCCAGGGGCCCATTTCCTCTCAGGCCTTGTCCCAATGGCCCAAATCCATCTGGGTTGTAGCTGGGGGAGACAGAAGATGAAGCTTCACCTTTTCTTGAATTGTTTCGTCTCTTTCCTGGATCTCTCGCTTGAGGCCTTGTATATCCTTTTCCAGGGATTTAATGACTCCCTGAAGGTTTACTTGCTCTCCTCTCAGAGTCTCAATGTCATTGGTTCTCTCTTCAATCTCCTTCTGCAGGCTGCTGAACTGAAGACACAAATGGCAACAACAAAGATCACTGTAGGCTTTGAGCTCACCTCTGTTCCTCCTGACTGTCTGAGTGCGAAGAGCTCCCATCACTGACCAACTGAACTGAATCAGCTCTCCTTCTATCAACTGGAAACACCAAGTACTCAACATTTCTGGACTTTGGGGGGTGAATTTTTGGACCATTTGAGACAGTCTGCCAATTTCTCAGGTCAAAAGGATGGTAGAATATTCTGTCTGGTAGTAACCAGGCCCATTCGCTGTACATGAGGATGGCCTGTCTCTGCACCAGAGGCTCCTGAGACCACTTCTCTGAATGGACTCGGGGTCTTCCATGACCACACTGACCTTGAAAGGTTGTAAGCAATGGCCTACCAAGGTCAAAGAGGTTGACTCTACCTGATGAGCTGTCTTTGCCATGTCCAAGAAGGGAAGGCATGATTCACTAGTTGTATGATCTCTAATAGGAAGGAGCATGAGCTTGCTTTGAACTTGGCTTCTCTAAGACTGTTTTAGGAAAATTGGCAATTTTATAAGGATCTGTGAATTATATCCTCCCTCACTGAACTACCAGTGGACTAAAAATACCTGCACCATCTATATATAAAGCAGTTTACATATCCATTCACATTCCCACCTACATAGTCAGAATAGGAGCTACCAGAGCCTGAGGTCATCTCCAGGTTCAGATGTTATCTGTCTCATCAACAGACTTTATTTCCATTTTTGTCAGACCCTACTTGCAGGGAAGTGAGAGGCCATAGAGTCTCAGTGTGCAGGGAGGCTCAGCATTCCTGTGAGAAGGAAAGAGCAGGGCAAGCCAGGCAGTGGCTCATTTGGAGGACATGGTGGCATCAGTCTGCTGAAAGACCATCTGCCAGCCCTCTTCTCTTAACCAGCACACTGGAGGTGGGACATTTGGTGGGAGCTCTGCTCGGCCACAGTGTGTCACAGTGTGTGACCATGGCTGCACAGAGGATGAGATGAGATTTAATTCAATCATGGAACTCAGAGGGGCTGCTTCTTGGGCATAACAGATCCTCAGGGAAACAACAAACAAGCTTAGACCTTTGTGGTTGTTTATTTGTAACTCAAGGACATAAGAACAAAGATGCAGAAGAAAAGTATTTTGTAATATGTTGTACAGGTGTTTTTATCAGGGGACGGGGCCAGAATAGGATGGTTTGTTATGTGACACATGTTGACCTAGTTTGGGCAATTTTATTGGGGCAGAGGAGACACAACGGCCAAAGCAATCATCTCTGACAATAACTTGCTCTTAATTCTGTTGACTGTTGTCCCGCAGATTCTGCTCTAAACTCTAACCATGCATACCAGGAGCATGGGAACTGTTGTTCCCCAAGGTCCCTTCCTTATCACACTCAGGTTCCATCACTCCTTTGACCAGCATCTTCCCACAGCCACCCAGGACATTCTGTCCATGTGTCCCCTGCTTTCTCTACAATACTGCCCTTCCACACTCCCAGGTCTCTCAGAGAACAGCCCAATACCTTCTTCCTTGTAATGCCTGTCTCTCCTTTGAGCCGTAGGTTGGATTCCTTTTCATCCCGAAGCTTCTTCTCATATTTGGTTTTGATGTCTTGGATTTCTTGGTCTTCATCTTCTTCAATCTGCTTTTTGGTCTCTTCAAACTCCCGCAACTGCTGCCTGACATCTTCCTGTGCCTGGCTCACAGGAAGGGAGAGAGTGTGGTCATGGGAGAGGGGATGCCTGATGCCCCTCTACTCAGAGGGCCTGGGATGAGACCAACAGAAGAGCCCTATCATGGGGAATATGAGACGAGTGTTATTATAGAAATGGAAAAGAAGGCCGGAGGTCCTTTGATGTGTTCATTTTCTTCCTGTCTCCCTTCTTTCCTAACCAGAAGAGGCCTCAGGCTCTATTACTTCAAGCACCCTCTTAACAACATCTCTACAGCCTCTTTTGTTTCTGTTCTTGACACTAACAGCCAGGCTTCCTATATTTTTCCTTCATGGAACTTGTGATGGCTGTAATTTCACATTTATTTGTGAAATTACTTTGTTGTCTCTCCCATTAGATGAAAGTTCCTTGAGGACTTATCGTATCTCTAAGGCCCACTGTTGAATTCCCCATGAATAGCACATGCTGGTACACAGTAGCTACTCAGTGAATCATGGAAAAATGAGGAAGTCTATAACCCTGCCCACCCATCCCTTAGGCTAATCCATCTGCCCTTTCTCCATGAATGGGAGGCACATGTTGGGTTCTCCAGAATACCTCTTCCAGAAGGCTAGTTTTCTCCTGCAGCTTGGCTTCATAAAACTCAGTCAATTCCTCCAGGGCCTGGCTCTTGATCTCATCATTGTCCTGAAGCTGTTTTTCATATTCCTCTTGCATTCTCTGGGACTTGAGCTGCAGCTCCTGGTACTTCTCATATTCTAGCAGCAACTTTTGGTTATTACAGCACTCTGGAGAGAAGCAGGGTGGTGGGTATTTAAGGTGGGTGAGTTAGCACCAGCCTCAGGGCCAGCCAAGCTCCCTGGGTGGTTTCTCAGCCCTTCTATCTCATCCAGAGCAGCTGCTTCCAGAGCCTAGGGCTTGAGGACCTGCCCAGCTCCCCTGCCTGACCCTACTCCATATCTCGCCAGGCAGCCAACCTCCTTCTCTTCCCCTCTAGACAGGGGCAGAAGGGCATTTGAGGGTTCAGGGTCAAGAAGAAATGTCCTGAATATGTAAAACAGGTATTAGTACACCTGTTTTACAGAAGAGTAAACTGAGGCTTGGTAAGGTGACCCCATCCACCTCAAAAATGAGTGGTAAGTCGGGACCAAAGGCAGTTTTTATCTCCTACTGGCATGCAGCAAGTGATTAATGAATGGGCAAATACAGAGGACTAAAAACCACAGTGAATTCTGGAGGATACATATAGCTGGTTCATAGACATATTCCCTGGGACTCCTGCTGTGGGGGACTCGCAAATGTTCACCCCGACCCGACTCTTTCTAATCCTCACCAGCCATCCTCAGCCCATGTAGCTTCTACTTGTGGACTTACCCAGGTCTTGCAGTTCCTGGCTTTGTTTATTTATGAGTTCGTCTATGTGTTCACGGTGATATATATCCTGCTTCTCTTTATCTGTTTTTAAAACCTACAACACAGTCACATTTCCTCATTTCTACACATCTGCTGAAAGCACCACAAGGATAACAACTAATTTGACAAGTAACACCATCCTTTGATCACAGCCATTTCTCTAGCCCTTGTTTTGCACCAAACATTGTTCTATGGAGTAACACTCTAGTGCTTTTCATTTGCACTATATTTTGCTCTAAAAGTTTTATGCTTTCCCTATTTATACCCTTCCAACATGGTGAAAACCCAAACTGAATGGGTTTGTCAGTGCTAAGTGTAGTCTTAGATGTGTGTCGAGTGGATTTGGGGATGAATAGTAGGAATTCACTAGAATCCTCTATTGCATGCACATTGCTGACAACTAACCCCTCAGGTATGTCCATGTGTACGCTTCTCCTCTAACTGGCAGGACAGCTCCTTGCAGGCTGAGGAGGTGCCATCACAGACCTAACTTTGTGTTTGGCTTATGCAGGGCACCAAATAAATGTTCACTGACTAAATTAATGAAATTATAAATGTGTGGAATAAAATTAATAGCCAGGTTTTTTTTCAAACACTCTGATCCATGGAGATACCATAAAAAACAAATAATTCTTTTTTTATTTTGGTAGCGGGGATCGAACTCGGGTTCTTGCGCTTGTGCAGCAGGCGGCGAAACCACTGAGCTAAATCCCCAGCCCCTAAAAAGCAAATAACTCTGAAAAATTGGGGGTTGTGGATGAGGGGCGAGATAGATTTGCATAGACAGGACTCTGGAAGAGTCCTAGACCAAATCTGATTACCTAGAGAGACCACTGAGAATAATTTTATTTAACTGTCTGACAATCTAGGAAACAGTATTTGCTAGTTCTTCTCTTTCTATATTTTTGTGCTATGTTTTCATTTTGTTTTTTTTAAAGAAGTTACTCCACATGACAAAAGTAATAAATTACCATTGTAGGAAATTTAGAAATTATAGAAAATTATAAAAAAATAAAATTTAAATTATCCATAATTCCAACTTCCAGAGATAGTTGTACTATTACCTGATTCTTGTATTTATTTTACCAAATTAATATCATTCACTATAGAGAATTTTATATTTTACTTTTTTCTACTTAGCACCCTGTTGAAGCATTTCTGACATGATCAACTATGCTTTACAATTGAACATTACCCTGTATCTTTTTGTTTGAACCTAGTTTGTGCAATATTGCTGGCCCTCTATTGAGCAGAGTGAAAACTTCTTGTTTCTTGTGGTTAGTGGTTCAGCCTCTCAGACAGACCTGGTTTTTTGTTTTCAAGGACTCCATTTCCTGGATGAACTTGTCTGTTAGCTCCTTAATCTTCTCAGAATAGTTCATATCTTTGAGTCGAAGCTGATACTCATTCTCCATTTTTAATTCTTCCACACGAGTCTTCAGCTCCAACATAATCTGAGCCTTTGGGGGGAAGGACACAGAATCAAGAGTATTCACAGTGGGATGAATTGGAATTTTGAAACCTGTAGCCTTGACCTGAGACCTGCAGCTCTTCCTACATTCAAAGTCAACTCATCTCAACTAGAACTTGTCATTTCCTCCTCCCCCAAAAGACACAGAGGCTAAAAATGAGATGTAGGAGCTTCTTCTGTCCTTACAATATGCATTTAGTGAGTGCTACTGTGTTCTGACAACTCTCACATCTTCAAACTGGCTTAAATGTCATCTGCTCAATGAAGCTCACTTGCTTGGATCCCACTATTTAATCCTGCTACCACTTTCCCATTCCCAGAACTGCCCCATTCCACTATTTTTTATCATTTCCTTAGATTTTGGCACTTTTGAATATATAACTTACTTATCATTTTGTTTATTCTTTTGTCTTTCTTCTCCTAGTTCTGCTAGAACTTAAGCTCCAGGAGCACTGAGATCCTTGTTGGTTTTGTTTACTGATGTACCCCAGGTACCCAGAATAATGTCTAACATATAATGGGTAGGCAAAGGGTATTATTGAATCATGATTGCTGCCCCCATGGAATTTATAGTTCACTAAACAGCCAAGTAAACATAGAATCACAAATTGTGATAAGTCCTCAAACTGCATCGTCAGTTGCCCCTTCTCGTGTGTTTTATGCCTGTGCCATGCTCATCGCTATTACTTTAATGTAGGTCCTAACTCTCTCTCTGGCACTTGTGTCCTGTAGCTTCTTCCTCCATTGTACTTACTGCTGCTAGTTTAAAAAAATACTACAATACATACTCCTCATTTCCCAAGAGTTAAAGTTGGTGACAGAGTGGGTGAGGATACTGGTGTTTCCTTCTTGCTCACCCTGATTACACCCTATGCTTCCCTCTCTCATCTTTGCTGATCTGTCTCCCCCACTGCTGGTGAGTGACTTGATGACAAGGAGCAAATTCTGTGTGTCACTGCACTCCTGTCCAGCACAGTAGTGTGGATCTGGCATGAGGAAAGTACTGAGATGAAGGATGGATATAAATTAGATATGCAAAGTTGGGGAGTGTTATGGCTTGTGTTTTGATGTCCCCCTAAAGCTTCATGTGGTCATGGGTGGAACTTTTTCAGAAGTGGCTGGATCTAGAGTGTGTGATGCTGGGATTGATTCATGGTGGAATGCTAGGATCAAGGGCACTAGGATTAAGGGTGTGAGTGTTACTTGGCCTAAGTAGCCTAAAATATAAAGGGTTATCTTGGCCTAAGATATAAGGGGTAGAAAGAGTTGTAGTCATTCTTTGTTGCTTTGCTACCTTCTGCCCACCATGAACTGTTTCTCCTCTGCGATCCCTGTCTTCTATGTGCCACCCTGCCTTGGAGCCAGCCAACTATGGACTGAAACCTCTATAAACTGTGTGCGAATAAACCTTTCCCTCTTTCACTTTGGGTGTCAGGTATTTTGTCTCAGCAACAAGAGAGAAAAGTAATTAACAAGGGAGCTAAGAGTGCCTGGTCAAGGCACTCATGTGATCTGGAGCTGGTAGGAGGCAGAGGGAGAGGAGGCTGAGACTTGGGCAAGATCATCAAGGTCCCTGCAGGCCATGTAGGAAATTTGGATTTTATACCAGGTGGCTTCCAAAGGTCCTCATCTAACCTGATTATGATGACTTAAGTGTTTAAGAGCCTCTTCGATAGTGGTGCACAGAAGGGTCTGTGTTAGAGATGGACTGAAGGCAAGGTGATGAATTGGAGGACAACCACATAGTCCAGGGAAGAGAAAGTAAGGGCTTAAGCTATTGTGCAGAAGCAGAGAGGAATGGAAAGAATAGAGATAGGGGCTGGGTGTAGGGTAGAGGTGAGAGGACTGTGGTTGAAGATTTTTCCTTAGGTAGATTAGCTGGTACCAGAAGATTGGTCTTGGCCTATCTTGCTTCACTGCTTTATCCCCAGAGTGTAGCACAAGACTGGTAACATCATCTGCACTGATAAATAAATGTTCATCAGGTGAATAAGTGACTCTAGGGTCTGCCTTGGACTGTGGTACATTTATTGGTGGGAACAATCCAGTTTTTGACATGTGATGATTGTAGTACTTGCTCATTGATGGTTCTCATTCCATTGCCACATTTTTGCAGAATGATCTCTCTGAGAGGCAAATCTTGTCAAGATACTCCCTAACTTAAACCTATTAGTGGGTGCTTACGAACAATTTCTGAAATCTAAAACATGGCATAAAAAGCCCCTCACGATCTCTCTCTGATTCTTTCTCCAACCTTTCTCTCTGGCACACTTGTTACTCTCCAGCCACACCTACTGGAAGCATCTTCCCCAGAACACTCTTCTATTATCCCTCAGCAAACACTCATTCCTCAGTGTGGAAGGCCCCTTCTCATTTATTCTGGAAGACTCCATCCTGGCATCACCTGACCTAGGACAGGGTCCTTCTACAGCATTGTTCTTTTCTAACATTTACTGTACTTCTGCATTACAGATTGTCAGGCCCTTCTCCCAGGACCTCTGTGTCCCTTATCTCAGTATAAGACCTCAGAATAGTGTCAGGTACATAGCAGGCTCTCTGTCAATACTAGACGGAAAATGAACACATGAGTGATAGATGAATGTGTAAATCCTTGGCTGAGAGATAGTTACATAGAAGGTCACAGAGTATAAATCAAAAAGAGAGCTGAGAATTCTAGGGAATGTGACTTCTAAGGGACAGGTGGACGAGGAGCCAGGGAGGGAGGTGGGGAGGAGAAGTTAAGAGAAATTTACAGAAATAACCAGAATGTGGGCATTTGAATGCTGAGAAAGAAGGAGGTATCAGGAAGTGAGCAGTATAGACACTCAGAATTTCCTGTCTGGTAGCAGCATTGTCAGGTGCTCAGACCTCAGCTCAGACACCTTCAGGCCTTGGGTTCAGTATGGTGTCTCCTATTTGGTCTTTTCTACTCTCTGTGAAGAAGAATGGAGAAGGAAACAGAGGAGAGACATAATATTTGTCTGCCACAGGGAGGTCAGGCTCTCCCTCCTGCTTCCTTCTCTTCCTTTTCCTGCAAAAAATTCCAGGGAGCTCCAGAAAGGATGTCCAGGAAAAACTAGAGGCCTTACATCCTGCTTTGTGGTTGCTTTTGCATCACTGCTCTGAGTTTTACTTGTCTCTATCTTCCACTTGACTTGAGCTTCCCGATCACAAGGCTTGTGCCTGTCCTTTTACACATGCATCCCCATTTCCTAGCTAAAGATTAGATGCCAATAAACTCAATTAGATAATTAGATTCTTGATGAACAGCAGCATGAGTAGCTTTGGGATTTCCTGGGAGCTATCCATTCAGCTTCTCCTGTAGGGAGCATAGCACAGACCTATGCACTCTAAATATCTGCAAAAACACTTTTATTCCCCTTGTGGTACTGAGGATTGAACCCAGGGCCTTGCATATCTACCCTAAAGATAAATCCCCAATTCTTTTAAAATTTTGAGAAAAAGTCTTGCTAAATTGTCTAGGCTGGCTTTGAACTTGCAAACCTCCTGCCCCAGACTCCTGAGTAGCTGGGATTATAAGCATGTGCTACTACACTTGGCTGCAAAACACATCTCTGTGGAACATTTACTGCACTAACAGGAGGGAATTCCCTTGATATAGTAAATAAGAGAGGGGCTCTGTATTAAATCTGGATTAGAGTACTGGTCCTACTACTTACCACCAGTGACTTTGGACCCAGCAGTCAACCTCTTTAAATCTGCTTTTTTTTTCTTCCTTAAATTCTTTTATTGGTACATTTTAGGTAAACAATACATTTACATTTATCATGTTTTCTTTTTCTTTTCTTTTTGGTGCCAGGGATCAAACTTGGGCCCTTGCTCTTGAGAGGCAGGTGGCAGAACCACTGAGCTAAATCCCTGGCCCCAAATTTGCTTTTTGAAACACGGGGCAAATAACAATATCTTCTTCATACAGGTGTTAGGAGATTTTAATAAGAAATAATTATGAAGCAGTCAGCATGATGCCTGCTTTATAGCAAATGATGATTATGATTACTCAGAGGTGTGAGTAAAGGCTTACAGAAATGTTTTCTAAATATATAATTATTACTTTTTTTTTTTCAGTAGTGGTATAGGGATTGAATCCAGGGTCTCTACACTGAACCATATCCTTAGCGCTTTTAAAATTTTTTCTTTTGAGACTGGATCTAGCTAAGTCACTAAGTTGTCCAGGCTTGGCTGAAACTTGCAATCCTCCAGCCTTAGCCTCCCACAATGCTGGGATTACAGGCATAGTCCAGCATGCCTGGCTTTTGTTTTGTTTTTTTAAAGATGGTTCTATGTACCAACAATTATTACATTTCACAGGTGCAAATGGGATACTGGTTTGTGAGTTTGATCTTGTAAATATTTATAAATTTCTTTCTATGTGTCTAGATGTGTTAGAAACTACTGCTGGCCAAACAAAGGATTTGTATGCCAAGGTTCCTACTCTCAAACAGTAGCCAGAGGAAAGCAGGATCACAGGATCAAAGTGGAGCACACTGTGTGTCAGGATGATGATGTGGCAGAAAGACAGGCAGTGAGGGTGGAAATAGAATCAAGCAGCAACAAGGACAGCCTGGTAGTATGGATGCGGGGGTGCAGGGAGCAGTGGTGGCCTGTCTGTGGCACAGGGTGCAGCTAGGCTTGCAGAGGACCTTGAATGCTGGTGTGAGAAGTTCAAATGCACTCTAGTAAGGAATCTCCATGTCCCTCTTCATTCAGTCTGATTCTTACCTTCTCTTCCATGTCTGTTTTAGTCACAAGCACCTCTTCAGCAAAGGCCACCTCTCTCTCTCGCTTGATTCCTCTGGCATCCTTATCAAAGACCTTCCAAGTGAACAGGCAGCCATCCTCAGCAGCAGTGAGCAAGTACTGGTCATCAAAGGTGAGCAACATCTACAGAGCAAAAGATCACAGAGAGGAAGGTTTCTGGTGCTGGAGATGCCCAGGGCTGAGCCAGCTGCTGGGCAAGGCCTTGGTCCATGAAACCCCGGCGCAGACTCACAGCAGGGTAGATTTAGTCCTGGACAAGAATGAGACAGGAGCCTCCACAGGGGGCTTCTGTGAATGGGTAAAAGAAGCAAGCCTTTTTCTATATTTCCTGTGGGGCTGAAATCTTCAAACCCAACTATCATCCAGAGTGTATAAAGAACTCTCAATATTCAGCAGAAATACCTGAAAATCCAAAGTGGGCAGCAAATGTGAAGACATTTCACTGACATGGATATACTAGATGGCAAATATGTACATTAAAAAGATGCTCAACATTCTTAGCCATTAGGTAATTGTAAATTAAGACCATGATGAGATATCACTGCATACCTATTAGAACAGCTAAAATAAAAAAGGGTGACAATATTAAGTGCTGGCAATGAGGTGGAGAATGAAGCATTGCTGGTGGCAATGTAAAATAGTACAGCCATTCTGGATAACAACTTGGCAGTTTCTTCAAAAACTAAATATCCACTTACTGTATGATTCAGTAATTGTACTCCTGGGACATTTATCCCAAACAATGAAAATTTAAGTCCATAAAAAAAACCCTGCACATGGCTATTAGTCATGATAGTAGCATTATTTGCAATAGCCAGAAACCTAGAAAAAATATCCTACAATGGAAGGAAAGTTAAACAAATTGTCATTTATTTACACTGGAATATCATGGAATACTATGTGGCAATAAAAAGGAATAAATTATTAGTGTACAAAACTTGGATAGGTCTGAAGAACATTACGCTGAGTAAGAAAAGCTACCCTCCGAAGGTTTGTGAATCACTATATAGTTATATTTATATAAAATTATCAAAATGACAAAATTATAGAAATAGACAACAAATGAATGGTTGCCGAGGATTAGGATGGTGGGGAGGGTGGGTATGACTGTAGGAGGGCAGCATGAAGCAGGTCTTGGTGGTGACAGAGCAGTTTCGGATCTTGGTGGTGGTGGTGGTTCCACAAAGTATGCACGTGATAATATGACACAGGTTTACACATATGCAGTGCATCAATCTCAGTTTTCTGGTCTGATATTGTACTAGAATGATATCAGATATAATTATTGGGCCAAACTGAGTGAAGGGTATACAGGATCTCTGTGCTATCTTTCAAATGTCCTGTGACTACAATTATTTCACAACAAAAAGTTAGGGCAAAAGAATTAACTATGAAGTGTCTTTTCCCAATTAGCAATATGTGTTAAGAACTTTAAAAATAGAAATCTCTAGGAATCTCTGTCTAGCAACAGCATCTCTGTCCAGGAAGTTAGCCATAGGAAATAATCGGAGATGCACATATAAATGTGCAAGTAGGATATTCATTGCAGTCTATAAGATAATTGAAATGACCAGTTGAAAGAGAAGAGTTAATAATTTATGGTTCATTATATGATAGGATATTTATGTAGCTACTAACTTTTGAGGAATATTTAGCTATATGGAAAAATACTTATAATAGTGTTAAGTTTAAAAAAAAACAGGCCACAAAAGAGTGGCTCTATCGTATGACTGAATGTTATTTAAAACACACACAAAATATGTAAGGGAAGATACAAATGTATCAAAATATTTGATGATACTACTATGAGGATCTTTACTTCTAAAGCAGACATGTCTTCTATAACAACAAACATCTTATTCACAAAACTTAGTAGATCTGAGGGAAGGAGGGGACTATATATTTACTTTGGACCTAAGGCCCAGACTCATGCAGTTATATGTCATTTTATAATGAAAAAATTGTTTTTTAAATAAAGGTAGGACCTACAGGTAAGCCAGTATAGAATTTGACATATATTAAAATCCCCAGGTCTTCATGCCATTCATCTGAAATGAGAGAGCAGAGAGGGGAGAGGAGACATATATTTTCCCAGTGCCAGTATCTATGTGCAAACATAGATACTATTTTTTTCTTGCCTGTGAATAGCCTAGAATTTGTCATTGGCTATGATTTCTTGGCAACCATGTTTTATGCTACTGAATTCTTTTTTTATTCATTTTTTAATTTTGGCAAAATACACATATATAATACTTACCATCTTAACTTACCCTCTTAACTTACCATCTTAACTGTGTTTACATGTTTATTTAGTTCAGTGTTATTAAACACATTATTAATGTTGTGGAACCATCATCACCATATTACTCAACTTATAAAACCGAAGTTTTATAAGTAATTAAGTAATAATTACCTGCATAAAGTAATAATAACCCATTCTTCCTTCTTCCCAATCATGGCATTGATTTGGTATTTTGTAATCATACTTTGTATGATTTTGACTAAGCATACTATGCATGATTTTGACTAAGTATCCTATAAAAGTGGAATCACGCTGTATTTGTCATTTTGTGAGTGGCTTATTTTAGTTAGTACAATGTCCTTAAGGTTCATCATATAGCATATTGCAGAAAAACATTTTTTTCTCAAAACTTTAAAGTCATTTTAAAGGCTGAACACTATTGTATTGCATGGATACACCACAATTTTGCTGATCCATTCATCTGTGGATGGACATTTGGTTGTTTTTTCATTTATCTACTGACCATAGGTACTACTTCATAGAAGAAGGCATGGAAGGACAATTTACAAATGTATGCTCATATTATTGGCTATGGAGGTAATCTACTGTATCTTCGGGACATTTTACCAGTTAATTTCCTAGGCTATGATTCCTTTTAGTCCAGGGCAATTCTGTGGTGAAGGGAGCACTGAGGGTCATTAGCAGTCAACCCTCCCAGCAGCTGGGAGATGTGTTGACCTGGGTGAGAAACTACAGCATCTATCAAATGGTGCATTATTGTGCTTATTATGGTGAACAACTTTGTCATTAATCTTTAGGTGTATCTCTGATTAATTGCTAAAATAAATTCCTAGAGTAGTTTAAACAAGTAGTCAATAGATTGACAAGAGTCAATAGGTTGACAGATGAATGGGTAAAGAGAGGGAAATGACACCAGGAGGTTGAGGGATGAAGGACCATCAGGCACGATCTGGGACAGGGCCCCTGATGGAGGGGAGGCCCATCTCACCTTGGTGATAGGACCAGCATGGGCCTGATACTCATTGAATTCTTTCTGTAAAGGCAGAGGATACTTCATAGCACGAATGGTTCCCGCTGAGGTGCCCACAAACATCATGCGCCCGGAATGTGAGATGACAACAGCTGTGTAGACGACGTCAAATGCTGACATCTCTCGCAGGATCTGGAACACAGATGGCTCTGTTCAGTAGAGAGGGTCAGCTATGTCTCCACTGTCCTGATGTCATTCTCTTCCTCTCCTTGAATAGCACCCTCAGAGGTCTGCATTTTTTTTTTCTTTTCCCTATAGCATTTGACATACTGGCTAGCACATAAAAGGTACAAACTAAGGATATTAAGAGGAGGGAAATTCTTACCCTAGAGGAGATTTATTCTGGTGCTATAAAAATTGCCATGGAATCAGGACCAGGCTACCTGGGTGTCTGGAGGAGAGTCACTACACATTAAGCTATGTCCAACCATGGAGAAACCTGCCTCAGGTCAATTTGCTGCTGTGGTAGCTAAGCACTTCCCCAGGCACCAGCCCCATGAGGGGGGCTGAGAAAAAGCTAGAGAAACCAATGAATTTCAGCCATCACTGGGCTTCTGGAGGATACAAGCCACATTTGTATGAAGTGTCCTTGCTGAGCCCTCTTCTCTGCCCTTAACTATATGGAACCAAATGTGATAATTCTAACATTTCAGAGGTGGCCCAGGTTATAGCAGCTAATGATAGTTGTGTTTTCACCCCAGCTAAGTGTGGACCATGGGCAAGAGTTCACTAGGCATGCTGCTGACTCTCATGCCTGGAGGGGAGAAGAGAAGTTATAGACAGCATGTAAAACGGAAGTGGAAAGAAGCTACACAATTGAACCCAGTCTGGAAGGCTGCTAGGCAGGAAATTCAAGAAGTAACAGTAAATTAGCTGACCTAACAGAAAGAGTAGCCAAGTGCTATGCAATAAAGAAGAACCCTCTTTGTGGGCACACTTTCTGCTGTAGGTACAAGAGGCTTCTTCTGCAGATCTGTGCAGCAGCCAAGGGGGTGGGCATGGGCAGACTCACCGAAGAATCTGCAATCTCCTTAAGGGTCTGGTCTGATCCAACAGCAAAGATAATTTTGGCATCAGGGGAGATGGTAACACAGTTGTAGCTGCAGGACTTGAGCACATACTCTGTCTCTCTCTTTCCTGAGGACAGATTCCATTCATATACAGCACCATCTGTGCCAGCAGAAATCAGTTTGCTGTCATCTGCATTCCACACAACTGAACGGATCTGCAGAGGATAAAGCCAGCCAGATAAGAGTGGCATCTGCGTGTTTGTGTGTGTGTGTGTGTGTGTGTGTGTGTGTACACACGCATATACACACCCCAATATGGGAAGGGGATGAACTCCTCAGGTGCTCTACTAGAGGAAGTCAGAATGTTTCTTCCTGCTAGAGGGCTTCCCTCCTATAATTACAAAACACAGTTTCTTGGAAATGTTAACATTTTGTTTTTTAAGAGGCTTGCAAAACACTGAGGACAAGCACTCCTATTTCTTTTGCACTTTATGAATGCAAAGACTGAATCATAATGGCTTAATGCTATTACCAATCAAATACTGCTATGTCTTAAAAATTTCAATTTTTGAACAATTATATATTTATTCACAGGCAGTTGCAAAAATAGCACAGAGTGGATTTCCAGAATGGCAGAGTAAGGATCTTAGCTGATCCTAGTGAAATAAGTTAACTGATAAAAATGACCAAAACAACTATTTAAAATCTCTGGAAGTTGTCTTAGGGTATATGGCAAATGAAGAAACATTCATTCAAGAAAATCTACCCTGTCTCAGTAACAACAGTCTGGCCATAGTCTTTGAGCCACCCCAGCTCCAGAAATTGCACTGCTGTGTACTCTGGGCAAGAGTTGCCAAGACCATGGGACTCCTGCTGCCTGCAGCTCCTGGTCTTGGGCACTGGTTTCACCCTAGGAAGGGCAGACAGCTAATGTGTCTCATCCCTAGCCTCATGTTGTGGGAGCTGTATTCAGGCAGGCATGGCCAAGAAGACCTGGGTTCCTTCCCAACAGCCAGTGCTCACTTGTAAGCAGAAGCTCTACTATAAGTGCAATAGGTGAAGAATAATGGTGCCTGATTACTCCTGCCCCATTTTGCTGAAGGTTGGGGGTTCCTCACCATGAGGAGCAAGCTAAAAAGACCAAGGGTTTCCATTTATCCTACTCTCACCCCACCAGTTCCATTCACAGAGTGGGGGTATCACTCCTGGAAAGCAGATCTTTGTACCCTGATCTGGTACAGTGGAGCAAGGGTTCTGCCCACGGGAAATTCAGACCCTGAGACAAAGAGCTCTGGAGCTCTGCCTGTGAGGACTGCATTTAGAACAGAACATGGAAAAGTCTGTGCTTATGGGCATGTGTAAAATCTTAGTAGAGAGTGACTAAGAAGAGGCTGGTAACCATGATATAAGTGAAATGACAGAGCAGCAGAATTTTAATAGAACAAGGGAAGAGTCAAGAAGAGCTCCTTTAGGAGTCACAGACAATTCTAGGGGCTCCCCCTCAGCAATAATCAGAGCAGGATATAGGAAAACACAAAAGCACCTCCTAAACTACTTGAAGGGCAGTTTACTCAGGTGAAAAATCTCATTGGCCCAAGGGTGGACCAAGTAGTATCGAACAATCAGGGGCACCTCCTAGGAAGCCAGGCTTAAAAATAAAGTCACTTATCCTTGGCATCCTGGAAGACTGTGTACCTGACCAAGGCCACACATTTTTAAGTACAGAGCTGGCCCATCCCAACTACCAGTCTCTGCTGAAACAGAGAAGAAGCCATAAATTCACTGAACTGTGATAGCAGCTTCCAAGCCACACATAAATCCAGTAGTAAAAAGTAAAAATCTATTTGGCTAAGGGGCTTATGTACAATCTGTGATTCATAGGCAGTTTATGCCACCCAGAGGCAAATCCTAGGTAGCCAGGCTAGAAGCCAAGAAAAAAATCTAGGCATGTATATTAGAGGCTTCATACTACTGTATCATAGGGGAAAGGGGGTCACAGGACTAGCTCTGCCAAGTTATTAAATGAATAACCAACCAACCAACTAACCAATCAACCAACTACCACCAATAATAACAACAACTCCTTGGGGGAATAAGTATTCAGTATTGCTACAATATATTGTCTAAAAGATTTCATCAATTAGAAACTTGTGAAATACGCAACAAACAACCCCAACAGATAATGTGACCAAAAAGGAAAAGAAAGAGAAAAAGGCAGACAGGCAAAAGAAACTGCCTTTGGAGGGGCCCAGATAGTAGAGTTAGCAGAGACTTCAAAGCAGCTAATATAAATATGTTCAGTGAATTAAAGGAAACCATGTTTAAACATTTAAAGGAAGGTACAGTGACAAATCTTATCAAATAAAGGATGTCAATAGGAGGTAGAAATTATTTAAAAATCAAATGGAAATTCTAGAGTTGAAAAGTACAATAATCAAGATGAAGAATTCACCAAAGGGCATCAACAGTAGATATGAGTTGGTGAACTTGAAGACAGATTAATAGAGTCTATACCATCTGAAGAACAAAGGAAAAACTGAGAAAAATTAATAGCTTTAGAGAAATGGGGGGAACCATTAAGTCTTTCAACATATATGTAATGGGAGTGCTAGGGAGTGAGAGAAAAGAGACAGAAAAAAATACATAAATACATGTTTAAAGCTGTAAACACCCAAATCTGTTGAAAAATATTAATCTAAACACCCAAGATGTGTAGTAAACTCAAAGTAGGACAAAATGCAAAGAAATCTATATCCAGAAACACCATTGTGAAAACATTGAAAATTAAAACCTTAGAAATTGCAAGAGAAACACAATTCACCACACATGAATGAACCCCAATAAGATTAACAACTGACTTCTCATCAGAAATGAAGGAGGTCAGAAGGTAATGGGAGCCAATATTCAAAGAACTGCAAGTAAAAGAAAAAACTTTATATCTTGCAAAACTACATTTCTATATTTTAAACACGAAGGAAAAATAAAGATATCCCAAGTTTAAAAAAATGGATAAATTGCTAGTAGACCTGCCTTTCAACAAACACAAAGGAAGTTCTTTCGGTTGAAAGTAGGTGACCTAAGACAGCAATGTGGATTCATACAAAACAAGTAATTTTGTAGGTATTCAAGATATAATACAATCACAGATTATGCTTTCTTAATTCTTTAAGCTGACTTAAAAAGCAACTGCAACAAGAAAGTTCATATAAAACAAATTGACAAATTAACACTTGCTCTCTTTTTTTTCTATTGGCTTTTTAAAAAGACACAATAAGGTCATATAGGCTAATAATTAAAACAATGTATTGTTGGGCTTATAACATAAAAAGATGTAATATGTATAGCAATGACAGCACAACAAGGGGTAGAGCTGAATGGACTCTGTGAGAGTAAAGTTTCTATTTTACTAGAAATAAGTCAGATAATATTTGGAAATTAAATTCTTTAAGTTGATTTTTTTCCCATTAGCCCATTAATATGGCAGATTACACTGATTGATTTTCAAGTGTTGAATCAGCATTTTATTCCTAGAATAGACCTCATTTGGTCATGAAATATAATGCTTTTTAATATATATTGCTAGATTCAATATACTAATACAGTGTTAAAGACTTTTGATTCTATGGTCATGAAGGATATTGATTTGTAAGTTTTTTTTTAATATATTCTTTTTGGCAGGTTTTGACATCACAATAGTATTGGTTTCATCAAATGAGTTGGGGTATGTTACCTCTTCTATTTTCTGGAAGAGATTGTGTAGAATTGGCTTTAATTCCTCTTTAAGTGTGTATGTACGCCATCTATATCTGTTATCTACCTATCTCTATGTATTAAAAATCATGAATTCACACTGATAACCTCCAATTTCGATTCAACCACAAGATTAATTCTAGCCCTTCCCCCTTGCCACATCTGTAACTTCCTTCTCCAGTAGTGAGAGACCAGGGTCCTGTTGTCTTCACTGTATTTGCTTTTCTCACTTTCCCTATAAGTAACCAATCTTGTGACTCACTGGCCACGTGTTTGGGTATCTCCATGATTCCTGCCCTGTCTGCCATATCTTTAGCCATCTTCTCAACCCCATCTCCACCTTTTAAATAATATTTTATAATTGTTTATTACTATTATATAAGAATGTAATTTTAAAATATAGAGTTTATTTCCAATAATATTTCTAGATTTACTAATTTTAAGTTTATCTGAACATTCTTTGAATTTTCTACATAATCAAATGATGTTTGTGATAGTTTTATTTCTTATTTTCCAATATTTATGCTTCTTATTTCCTTTTGTTGCCTTATTGCACTAGGCAGGACTCAGGAGAAGGCTAACCAAAGGCATTATATTTGTTCTTTATCTCTGAGAAAATGCTTCATAATTTCATGATCAAGAATACTGTTTGTTGGGCTGGGGATTTAGCTCAGTAGCACCATGCCTCTCTTGCAAGCACAAGGTCCTGAGTTCGATTGCCAGTACCGAAAAAAAAAAAGAAAGAAAAACTTTAGGGGCTGGGGATTTAGCTCAGTGGTTCCGCCGCTTGCCTCACAAGCACAAGGACCTGAGTTTGATTCCCAGTACCAAAAAAAAATCAAGTTTTGATTTTTTGATGGTCTTGTTTGGTTTGTTTGTTTTCTCTTTCTTTTCTTTTTCTTTTTTTCTGGGGGGTGGTTTTTGAGACAGGGTCTCATTTTGTAGTACAGGCTGGCCCTGAACTCACTATGTAGCCCAGGCTGGCCTCAAACTCATAGCAATCCTCCTGCCTCAGCCTCCCAAGTGCTAGGATTACAGGCATGAGCTACCATGACCAGCTTCTTTGTTTTCTATTTTATTAACTTCTGCTCTTGTCTTTATTGTTTCTTGCCTTTTATTTTCTTTGAATTTCCTGTTCTTTTTCTAACTTAAGATAGATGCTTATATCACTGATCATTTCTAATGTATATATTTATGGCTATAAATTTCTCTATGTATGGCTTTAGCTGCATCCTCTCAATTTTTAAAAAATGTTACACATGTAGCTCCAACATATATCACCAATTAGAGACCACTGTTTTAAATTCTTGTAAAATTATGACACAAATGGCTGTTTTCTTGGACTGGTGGGGTGGGGCTCCCCAAGGGGCTATGCATGGTCCTAGAAAGAGCATCCGAATTACTTTCTGTGTTGTCATCTGCATCTCCTCTGTCACCTGAAGACTGGTTTGTTGTTAAAGCTAAGGGAGTTCAGCAGCTGTCAATAACGATGTTTGTGTTTGCACGGCACCTTTAAATCCCTCCACCTTTAATTTTTTTCCTTTTGATAACCTGTTAATTGTTAATCAATGGTCAGCTTTTAGTCTTTAAGAGTACATGATATTTTCTGATATCTAGTACCACTGATAACTTTATCCTTTTGAAGGTTGTCTGGTTCCCTTCTTTGATACAGTTTTCCCATTCCAGGTTCTTGTATTTTCATCTTCAGACTCCTCTTCCTCTATCCATCCCTTAAATGTTGGTCAACTCTCTCCTGCCCAAGATTCTTCTCAGATTCCACACAGGCTCTTGGTGATCTGATCTACCCTCCACTTCCACTATCACCTGAGCCACCAAGTTTTCACGTTCAGCCTTGATTTCTATTCTGATCTCCACACACATATAGCATATTTCCTGGGCACATCAAATATAACATATCGAAATGGAAAGTAATATCTATTTTATGTCCACTATTAAAGTCATAGTTTAGTTCCAAACTCATCTTACCCTCACTTCCTACTTGGTATCCATTACTCCAGCTCCCATCCTCTCTAATCCAGCTTCAACACAGTTTAAAGAATTACCTTTCCAGCCCCATGACTTTCCTTTCTTAAATATTTTAATTGTTTCTTGTCACTTATCTTCTAACATCCAACTCTCTGGCATGGCATACACTGCCTTCTAGAAATATCCAAACTCGCCAGATCCCTCTTTTATCACTTCTCAAACGTGCCCAATATTCTAGCTACAGAAAACATAAAGCACCATCCTATTTCATACTCCATTCCATCCTCTCTTCCACCTTCTGCCTAGGATGCCCTCCCATTTCAACTGCCTCTTTTCTTCAGATCCATTTGCCGACTTTTCAGCCTTTTGATCTTTGTCTTCCTCCTGTTCAGGCCTGATATTAATCTACTCCAGGACCTACTGATTTCACTTTCTAAATATCTTTTGAATTCACCCACTTTCCCCTAATTGTGCTACTACTACCGTGGTTTAAAACACTATCATTTAGCATGTAGACATTCACAAGAGCCCCTTTATCATTTCCATCCTTGTTTCCTTCAACATATTCTTTATTCTGCAGCCAAGGGAATCTTTAAAATGCAAATCTGGTCTATCATTTCCTGCCCTGAAAGTCCTCAATGATTTTAAGGAATAAGGAGGATAGAAGATAAAATCTTTGCAAGGCCTACAAGGTTCCATGTATTTAGGCTGCTGTGAACCTCTCCAGTGTCAGTTTAACTCATGCTTCTTCTTGATACCTAGGTTTTCAGCCCCACAGTTCCTCTGGCAGCTGCTGCAGTCTCTGTGGGTCTTTAAATCCTTATCTATAATAATTACTAGCTCTGTCTGATTAATTCCTCCTCACTCCAGTACCAAGCCTTTGTAAATGCCCAACCTGTTATACCTACTCCTTTGTTATTTCCTCTTATAGGAAACCCTTGTTTTTCTTCACTGAATTAACTGCAATCTGTGCATTTATTTGCTTTACTGTTTCTTTCCTCAAGTAGACAGTGAACTCCATGAGGAAAAAAATTGCTTTCCTTTTGTTCACCTGTATCCCATCCACTAGCGTGTGCATGGTTCCAGGTCCCTTGTTTCCCAAATGCTGTTCATTCACTTACCTTCCCCGTGTGTCCTTTCAGGTTTGTGATGTTCTCTAGGCTTGTGGTGGTAAAAATGTGAATCACATTTCCATTGACTGCAGCAAATAGGTGGCCTCCATTGCTGAAGGAGCACTACAGAGAAACAAGAGCAAGCAGATGAGCAAGAGATGAGCAACTTGGGGCTGGGGATTTAGCTCAGTGGTTCTGCCACCTGCCTTGCAAGCGTAAGGTCCTGAGTTCGATCCCCGGTACCAAAAAAAAAAAAGAGAGAGATGAGCAACCTAACTGGAGGCTGTGGTCTGGTGGGGCTTTTCTGAAAGAGTTCAGTGGGAACTACAATTCCTAGTGGCAGTAGGACTGAAATTTGGCTGATATTTTCAGACACTGTCATACACTATTTCCTGTAGCTCGCACCAGCCAAGAGGCTGACACTGCCATTTCCACTGGTCATTCAGCTGCTTTAATCACAGAGTTTTATTTTGTCTGTAGAAAAGTGGGGAACTGATTCCCCAAAATCACAGTCTTGTTTTTGTGAGTTATCTCAGGGGCATGTAGGGCACCTGATGGGCCAATGACTGCCTCTACTGTTGATGTAATGTTCCTGGCTCCTCCCCATCTCTATTCTCATGGTCCCAACTAGAACTTTCATCCTGAGATTCCTTTTTCCATATTTGTTGAGACTCCATGATCACAGAGAAAAGGTACTAAGGTGGGACATCACAAAGATTTAGGGTCAACAAAATATTTTGGTTGACAGTAAGAAATAGGGGTAGAACCATATATTGTATGAGTTTGAATGAGTTGGATTTTTTTTTTGTACCGGGGATCAAACTCGGGTCCTTAGCTTTCGAGGCAGGCAGTGGAACCACTGAGCTAAATCCCCGGCCCCAAGTTGGATTTTTAAAAAGCCACTAAAGTTCTATAAGGCAGACTTTGGTTCTACCTCTCTAGAGTGTGTTAGTTCTTGGTATTGGTATTTCAACCCTGACTTTCCAAGAAACTGGACCTTTATCTCCAGCAGTTTTTACCTCTCTGCATCCTCTGACAGAGTATTCTTTGAAAGGACGTATATCATCAATGAGTAGATTCATAAGGCATAGTTTGTCAGCAAACCCTACTACAATGTAGTGTCCAGATGGATGAAGGCTGATTGCATATGCCTCTTCTTGATATTCCTTAAATAGTTCAAGAGTGCTGTGAAAGTGATAAAAATTGAATTATAAGCCAAATTCCTAGATCCCTCAACTCTTCCCTTGAATATGGTATAATATAGTTATTATAGCATTTGAGATAAATTATTGCTTGCAATTACTAGTTCCTCTCTTTTTTAGACTCTGGTTACTTGAGGATAATGTCTAGCTCTGAGCATGGCCGGGAGGGGATCTGGTTGAGGAACTGTCTAGTAATGGTGAAGACACAGTTCTGTTGAGATTCCAAGAATTTTAAGTACTGTACAGGTATGTGTTTTCAGCAGCTGCAGAGCTTCATACAAGAGCAAAGAAAATCATATGGATCTAACCTAAGGTTGGAGATTCTTAGGGAAGCTATGCCAGAAGGATACAATCCCCAGGGAGTTGGTAGTAGTTGGGACAGTGAAGAGGAGAAAGAAGAGAAAAGGATCTGGAGAACTCTTTAAAACAAAAACCAGACCTAGTAGAATGGAGGGGACAGGAGAGACAGAGGATGGTAAAATTTATGTAAGAAGGTGAGATCTTGGGGTGTTGACTTTATGTCTCTAGTGTCCAAAATAGGGTCTGGTATGTAGTAAGCCTTTTTTTTTTTTTGGTACTGGGCATCGAACTGGGGACCTTGCGCTGGCAGAGCAGCTGGCGGAACCACTGAGCTAAATCCCCCGCCCTGTAGTAAGCCTTTAATTAATAACAAATTAATTTTCTATTCCATACAAGAGTGACAAACAAGGCCAGGGATTTAGCTCAGTGGTTCCACTGCCTGCCTTGCAAGTGCAAGGTCCTGAGTTCAATCCCCAGTACCAAAAAAAAAAGAGTGACTGACAGACTGGATGATTTGATTTAAAAAAAGGTTTTTCCAACTGAAAGCTTCTAAGTAATTAAATTATAAAACTCTCTAATTAAAACTGTTCACATAAACAAATTTAACAATAAAAATTCTGCACACTACCGCAGTAAAGCCCTTCATTCCTTACTTTGATTCATAATTCCAGATGCGAATGGATCGATCCAGAGAACAGGTGGCAATGAGAGGTTTTCGGATACAGGTAGCTAGACCGGTGATGGATGCTGAGTGTAAGGGGTATAACAGGTACTCGAAGTGAGCAGCCTCCCCCTGGAGAGAGCACACATAATGAAATACAGCACTGTGAGCAAAAGGCTGGTTATGTACTTCAGCTCTAATTAGTACCTGGGAACATTAATTAGGCTGTATGCACAGAAATCTAGCCTTAGCAAATTGTCTTAATGTTATGCATATTTCCCTATGATGGTATTATTTTAAAACATTATTTTAATGGCAGGAAAATTTTTATTCTGAGTATCCTATAATTTAATTTAACCATTCCTTTACCATAGGACTATTAAAGTGGTTTCCATTTTTATTGTTATTTAGGAATAATACTAGACTAAATATCCACATACCTATAAATATTTGTGCACCTCTCTGATTACTTCCTTAGGATACATTTCTGGCAGTGGTAAGGTGGGTAAAATGGTATAAATGATTTTAAGTATCTTAATATGTATCGCCAAGTTTCTCTTCAAATTATTCTATCAGCAGCAGCAAATGAGAGTTGAATGAATGATTTTAAATCAAAATGCATCCTGTTGCAGTGATTGTGTACGTATTAGAGATGTTTGTTATCAGAGGTGTTATCCTTGGGACATCTGAATAAGGAGCGATGTTAGGATATTTAATGAATATACATTTTAGGTTTGCAAGTTAAGACAAAGGCTGAGAGTGAATTCTGTCAAATTCTGGCCCTCCCTCACTTATATGTATCCATTCCTTCCTTTTCTACTGCCTCAGAGAAAGAGGCACTGTGCTAGGTTGGGAGCACGTACAGATCATTTCTGTTCTTCTCCATCTTTTTACCTCCCCCCACCCAATATCTTCAATGTTCCTGTCTCTCATTAGCTTTGAAACACCATCAAATCTTTCAACTTCCTTGTTTTATAAACTATAGAAATTTTTTATCTTACCCTGCTTCTGTGTACATATGCCTGAGTAGTTGTGTAATCATGGGGAATCAGATACAGAGGCTTACTAGTTTCCCTTAAACTTCATGATCACAAACCTCCAATGGGCATTTAATACATCCAGGTGACATTTTCCAATATTGTTTATTTTCTAAACTTCCAAGATAACTATTTCATACTATTTATTCTCTCTTTTCAAATCTTCTAAATTCTTTCTTCCATCTATATCTCTCATCTGATGACACTACCTCATAGTTCTTTGATCTTGTATCTTTGTATTCTTCATTTTGTATCTCAGAAGCACAGTTGTAGACTATCATAATTAATTCACGTAAAGGCAATTTTATTTAATCTTTCTCCCCCCTATTTCTTTGCTACTGTTCTTATCATAGGTATCAACTGATGAATTTTACTTCTGTCCTTGAATATATTCATATTTCTATAAATGGAATTGTGCTATAGATTTCATTCTCTATTTTTACTTTTTTCTTTTACAATGCTATGTTTTTAAGGAATCATGTATGTTTGGCATATATAATTTATTGCTTCTAACTGATGTTTGGTATTCTATAATATTCATCCAGCTACTTTATTTCACCACTACCACTAGGGATGGGCAACAAGAGTGTTTTACCCATTGGTAAAAACACTAAAACAACATCTTTGTACATGTTCTTTAATGGATCTATGAGTTGGAATTTCTGGTATGTATTTGGTGGCAGACTACTGGATAATAATTTTATTTAGTTCTCTACCAAAACTATCAGACTACTCTCTAGAACAGCTATCTCAGTTTATACTCTGTTATTATTTATATTTACATATCCCCTCAAAGGTTCATGCACTCACAGGAGGGGCTTTTGGGAGGTGATTGGATCATGGGGACATGATACTCATCAGTGGATGAGTCCATTGATGATTTTATATCTAAATATGATTTGAGAGGTGAAGACTGGTCAGAGGAGGTGTGTCACTGGGAGCATGGCCTGAAAGAGTCTATCTCCCTGACTCCTCCCCTCAGTCTCTCTGCTTCCCACTACCATGCCATGAGCTGTTTCCTCTGCCATGCCTCTTTGCCATCTCATCCTGCCTTGGAGCCGTGGACTATGGACTGAAACCTCTACAAACAGTGAGCCTAAATAAACCTTTCCTCCTTTAAGTTGTAGGTGTCAGGTATTATGTCTTAGCAACAAGAAAGTAACTGACACACTTACATTAAGATTCCCATTCCTCCTTGTTCTTGGAAATCTCTGGTGATATCTGCCTTCCTAATTTTTAATAAAAGAATAAAGAAAGTCCTTACAAAAACCATCCCAGAGTTATTTTAATTTGCATTTTTCTTCTTACAGGCAACAGAAATGACCTTGAGAACAACCAGAGTTGGATTTAATGGAAAATGGCTTCAAAGTAGCCAATATAAATATGTTCAAAGAACTAAAAGAAATTATGATTTTTTTTTTTGAGACAGGGTCATCCTATGTAGTTCAGGGTGGCCTCAACTTTCCATGTTCTTATCTTAGGCTTGAGAGTGCTGGGATTACAGGCAGAAACCATGACTTAAAAAAAAAATAATGACAGTGTTCATCAAGTAGAGAACACTAATAGAGGAATAAATAGTTTGAAAATACTGTTGTGGAACTAAAAAGTAAAATAACTGAAATAAAAATTCCCTAGAGTGGCTGAACAGCAGATTTGAATTTGCAGAATTAGTGAGTTTGACAGGTCAATAAAGATTATGCAATTTGAAGAACACAGAGTAAAAAGAATGAAAAAATTTAATAGAGCTATAGACAAATATGAGACACCACTAAGAACACCAACAGATAGATAATGTGAATATCAGAGGATAGGAGAGAAAGGAGCCAAAATACATGAATAAATGATGGATTAAACTATTGGTTTTTTATTAAACCAATGCTTATTGAAAGACATTAATGCACATTTATAGGAAGCTTAATGAACTCCAAGTAGAGTTCACACAAAGAGATTCACAGACATCATGATAAAAATGCTGAAAACCTTATTTTTCCTCAAGGAGATCATCTTAAAAGCATCAAAAGATCGCTTACAAGGGAAACCCAGTAAGATTAACAGCAGACTTCTCAGCAAAGACAATAGAAATGAGAAGGGGGAGGTAACATGTTCAAGATGCTTAAAGAAAAAATTATCAACCTAGAATCCTACATATAGCAGTTGTATTTTTATATTCTTGAAATGAAAAATTCAAAATGAAATAAAATTCCATTTACAATAGAATCAAAAGAATAAAATATTAGCTGGAGATGGTGGTTCATGCATCTAGTCTCAGCTACTCAAGAGGATGAGGTGGGAGGATCTTTTGAGTTCATGAATTTGAGACCAGCCTATGCAATATGGTGAGTCCCCACCTCAAAAAAATAGGTAGGAAAAATTTAATAAATTAAGCGTGAAAGTCACAGTCTGAAAATTATAAAACATTATCAAAAACAAATGATCTAAACAAGCGGGAAAAAATCACATGTTCATGGATTGAAAGGCTTAATATTGTTAAGATGACCATAGTCCCTAAATTGATCTATAAATTCAAATTCCAAATATCAGAATCTCAGATTGCTTCTTTTTAGATATTGACAAGCTGATTCTAAAATTCATATGAAATTGAAAGGGTCCCAGAATAGCCAAAGCAATCTTGAAAAAGAAAGACAAACTTGGAAGTTTCACGTTTCCTGATTTTAAAACTTACTAAAAATCAACAGTAATCAAGATAGTGGCAGGGGGACAGAAAGACAAAACAATGGAATAGAACTGAAAGTCTAGAAGTAAACCAATATATCAATTGATTTTTTTTTACAAGGGTGCTAAGACCCTTCAAAGTAGAAAAAATAATCTTTCAACAAATGCTCCTGGAACAATTCGACATCTGCATGCAAAAGAATGAAGTTGGATTCATACTGCATGCCATATACATAAACTCAAAATGGATCGAAGAACTAAGTGTAAGAGCTAATACTATAAAACTTGAAAGAAATATAGGGATAAATCTTCATAACTTTAGCTATGGCAGTGGGTTTTTAAATATTATACTAAAAGACAACAAAAAATCCTCAGGTAAATTGACATCATGAAAACTGAAAACTAACTCAAAAGACATTATCGAGAAAATGATGGGGCCGGGGATTTAGCTCAGTGGTGCTGCCGCCTGTCTTGCAAGTGCAGGATCCTGAGTTCGATCGCTGGTACCAAAAAAAAAAAGGAAAGAAAATGAAAAGACAACTCACAGAATGGGAGAAATTATATCTATAGTACATGAAGAAATCTTACAATAAAAAAAAGAAATCTTATAATTCAATAATAAAAAGAGAACACAATTTAAAAAATGGCCAACATTTGGATACATTTCTCCAAGACACACAGATGCTCAAATGCACATAAAACAATGCTCAATATCACAATCATTGGGCCAGAGATTTAGCTCAGTGGTTTTGCTGCCTGCTGTGCAAGCTCAAGGACCCGAGTTTGATCTCCGGTACCACACACACAAAAAATCACAATCATTAGGGAAATGGAAATTAAAACCATGATGAGATACTGGTCCACATCTTCTAGAATAGCTATAATCAAAAAGTCAAGTGGTTTCAAGGACAAAGAGAAATCAGAGCCCTCAAACACTGCTTATGGGAATATAAATGTTGTAAAACTTTCTAGAAGCTCCTAAAATGGCTAATCTTGAAGTTACCATGTGACCCAGCAATTGTTCTAGGAAGAGAAATGAAAACACCCACACAAAGACTATATATAGGAAAGTGCATAGAAGCAATATTCATTAAAGCCAAAAGGCGAAGACAACCTGAACATCTAAAAATCAAATGCACAGATATTCAAAGTGTAGTATATCCATACAATGGGATATCTATAGTATTTGGCCATAAAAAGGAATGAAGCACAGTACAACATGGATGAACCTTGAAAACATTATGTTAAGTTAAAGACACCAGTTTCAAAAGTTCGCATATTGTATGATTCTGTTTGCATGTAATACCAAGAATAGGGAAATCTATAGATACATAAAATAGATTAGTGATTGCTCAGGGTTGGGACTGGGCGGGCAGGAGGATGGGCAGATCATAGCTAGAGTGTGGGTTTTTTTGTTTGTTTGAGGTGATGAATATGTTCTAAATTAACTGTAGTAATGATTGTACAACTCTGAATATACTAAACATTACACTACTGTACACTTTAAATAGGTGAACTATGCAATAAATTGTGAGGTGCGATCAAAATATATGGTGAATGTTTAAATTTAAAAAATTTTATTATAGTAAAGGACACATTGCCATTAATCCCCACAAAATACTTCCCCTTGCTTCAATCATACTTATCCTGTAGTTCTTGCCACTTTTGGAAGCAGTTCTGGAAGTCCTCTCTTGTGAGTGTCTTTTTAAGTTGTGATTAAAAATATGATGAATGCTGTTGCTGAATGCCATCCAATGGAAAGGCAGGCTTGTTAAGTGAAAGAAATCAGACACACAAGGTTAAATATCACATAGTTTCTCTTATATGAGAAATCTGAATTATAAATAAAGAGCAAAATAACAGATAGATAACAGGGCGTAGGAGATAGATCTTTCTCAAATAGCAAGGGGATCAAGAGATGGAGGGAGAAGAGGGAGGGGATGAAAGAGGATGAGAAAAGGAGTGAAGATGTATTATGTACATGTACCAACTCCACATGAGGTGTATTAATAAAAATTACAGTGTGCCCTCATCTACCTTATTCACAAGATATGGCACTGTGTAACTTCTGATTCTTCCTCAAAGTCAAAATGACTATAAAAGAGAAATGTTTTTAATCAGTTCAGGATGTTGAGGGAGCAATGACAGGGTAATTAAAGACACTCACAAAAGGAGGCTTCCAGAGCTGCTTCAGAAAGTGGCAAGAACAGTGGAATAAGAGCAAGGACCCGGGTTCGATCTCCGGTACCAAAACAAAACAATGGAATAAATATGTTTGAGGTAAGGGAGAGTATGTAAGGGGGCTTAGTGGCAGTGTGCCATATACTGTAATAATTTTTTAAAAAATTAAATATTCACTGTATGTTTCAATCACACTTCATGAAGCAAAGCTGTCCTAAAAGCATTACTAAGACAAGTATGTTAAAATCTACTACAGTGATTGTATAGGGCATATTTTACTTGTAGTTTTGTCACATTTGGCTTTACATATTTTAAATCCATGCTATTAGGTGCACACAGATTTAAAATTAGCTTATTGATAAAGTGAAACTTTTCTACAGTAACTACAATATTTTTAATCTTTCATAGGGCTTTTTTGTTGTAATGTCTGCATATGTTTATAGCAGTTTTCTTTGTTATTCTAAAATAAAACGAAAAATACACACACACACACACACACACACACACACACACCTTTGTACTCATGAGCCAAGCATAGCAAATTAATTCCTTGAAAGGCAATTTCTGGTAAATGTGTATGTAGGATTTTAATTTGTCAACACTGAGGCATCACCCGAAGAAGCTGCAGAGGGAGTTTGTCAATTCCTCTGAGTTTGTCAGAGTGCTTCTACACAGACATCTTAAAATTCAAGCTTCTTGTGGTTCTGCCGCCTGCCCTGCAGCGCAAGGTTCCGAGTTCGATCCCCAGTAACAAAAAAAACAAACAAACAAAAAAAAAATTAGAGCTTCTTTTGCTCAGTCATGAAGTAGAGGAGGGGTGAATGAACCCGTGCTCAGCTTATGGGTGGGAAAGTTGCCCACATAGTGAGCAGCCCCTGCCAGGCACGTAGGCCTGGTCTGGAAGGACGTGTTGCTGGGGGAGACTTACTTTGCTGATCTCTGTCAGGGACATGGTGATGGTGTAGAGTTGGTTCTTACTGGTGCTGGCAATCAGGGTTTCCTCTGAGGGGCTGAAGCACATGCACAGAACATCCTGTTTGTCAGACTGATTTGGGTCATTGCTCTGTGGGTCCGTAGGAATCTGCCCAAGACACAAAAGAGCTATCAGTAATGGCCTCACATGGTCAATGTGTCCTTGGGGTTTGAGAGTTCTCCCAGACAGTTTTAGCTCCCAGGATCCCAGACTAGAATGCTTCCCTTCTCCTCGGGTGTGGAGGAGGGAGGGCCTGAATGCCTCTGTTTTTGTGGGTTTTAAATACCACCAAACACTCACCTTTAGGTAACTAATGACTGAGTAATAAGATAGCAGAATATGTGGAAATTATCAACCCATGCATCTCGATTTGTGGTTTCCCTTAAAACCCACATCTGGCTAAATCCCACTTTTACCCACCTGCGGGTATGTAACCAACAGTGCATATGCTCACCTGGCACTGGCACATTAGTGTCACTTCAGGGCTGCAGAAGGATGTGGCAGCCCTTCTACCATGAAGGGTGGGTGACAGGGCAGAGCAAAGAGGAGTCACACAGTGTCTTCCTGCCGGTAGTCTTTGAGAGGCTCTTTACCTCTTAGGTAGACATAGTAACATTAATGTTCTTTCTGCTGCTGCTTATCTTCTATTAGCAACTGAACTCATTGAAAGGCTGGCCTACATGCCTGTTTCTGCTTCCCTGCCATGTGCTTGCTCTTTAGAATTTGGCTTTTGGTGCATCATGCCCTGCAACTGTCCTCAGGAAGACCAGAAATCTCCTTATCACCTGAGCTCAGGCCCCTGCTCAGTCCCCATTTTCTTTACTTTTCTAGAGCTTGTGGCACCGAAGGCAGCCCACTCCTCCCTGGGGTCTATGATACTGGGCTTGTGTGCTTGGCTCCCTCTGCTTGGAGTCTTATCTTCCTATATAGCTCAACCCTTCTTCTTATAGCCAACACCCCTTGCTCTGCCACCACAGCAAGGGTCCAGAACTTCACTGACCTCCTTCAGGCTGGGTGGGTACTGATATTCCCTATATGCACCCATAGCCACTGGGAGCTCCCTCTTGTCACATTTATCATACTGTGCAAAGTTCAATGGGAACTCAACAATGGGTGCTCAACAAAGGAAAGGATGTTGCCTTGTCTCTTTCCTCCAGACTCAGTGAGGTCCTGTGAGAAGGGGTCATGTCTGACTCATCTATCTCAGCCAAGCACAGAGTCTGCCCCATGGCAGGTGCACAGAAGACATTTGTTGAATGAGTGAATAATCACAACTTCTAGTATCCTCTGCTGGGCTTCCATCCTGTCTATTTCTAAATTAGGAAATGCCAAGTCTTGTCCTTGATCATTTTTTTATTCTCTCAGTGTATTTTATCTCTCAGTGATTTTGCCTAATATGAGGGTTTAAATAAAAACAATGGTAGTAAATATAATTACAAATACTTAAAGTAGTAGAAATAAGGCATCAACTAGTGTGTGTGTGTGTGCACGTGCGTGTGTGTGTATGTACTGAACTCCCCATCAAAGTCCATGTCCATATTTCCAACTTTTCCATTGGATTCTGGTCTCTGCTCAAATGTCACCTTCCTCAGAGGTCTCCCCCAGCCACTCTGGAACAGACCTCTCTGTCTTCCTGTCCTCTTTCTGGCTTTTTGTTTTTGTTTTTGGTACCAGGGACTGAACTCTGGACCTTGTGCTTTTGAGGCAGGCAGCAGAACCACTGAGCTAAATCCCTGGCCCTGTTTTCTTCACTTTATTGATCCTCATCTGAAACCCTGTACATATTTTGTCTCTTTGCCTACGGATTGAGTTCTAAGGGAAGGCTCTTTTGTATATTGGCTTCTCTGCTGTATTCCCAGCCCCTTCCACAGAGCCTGGCATGCAGTAAATGGTCAGTAAATACTTGTTAAATAAATAAATTAACTAATAAAAGAGTAAATTGCTTAACGAGCAAAGTAAACTCATGCTGCTTCTGCTTTCTTCCCTCATCCTCACCCTCCTTGGTCTACTCCCTTGCCCTTTTCTCAGGCATCCATTTCAAATCTGTGCTCTCTGAGTTTGATCCATTCTGTATATTATTAACTTCTTCAAGTCCAATGCCTCTAGAATCACTCCACCCTGTGTCATAGGCAGATTCCTTTTCTTCAGCGTAACTCTTTCACTCACAACCTTGCAGAATGCCTGCTGAATTATGCACATGCCTCTTGGCTGGTGTTTGAGGTCCTTCATTTGGCTTAACTCCTCTCTTTCCCCTTCCAGTATCTTTAATCTCTTTCCACTGGGGAACAGAACATCTCTGAAACAAAACCTACCCTTGCCTCTGTGGGGCTTCTGCTGCAACTGTTCCCTCCATCCAGAGTTCCTAGTTTCTTTCTAATGTTGTCCATCTTCTAAGATCCTTTGTCAAAGATTATCATCGAGTACTAAAAAGGCTTCCAAATTCTTTTCCACCCTCTGTACAGTATCTCCCTCTAAAATATTTAGTACCCTTTATTCCACAGGCATTACAAAATGCTTATGATGTGCCAGGTAGTGTGCTTGGCACTAAATATCAATATGTACCTAATAATATAATTATTATCAGAACACTAAGGTTTAGTGGAGAAGTATATTTTGCCAAAATTCTCTTCCAGGGTTCAAATCCAGACCTTCCTGACCTTCCTGCTTCTCAACTCCAATTCTGTTCATTTCATCCTAAAACCTCCCTCAGGTTTATATGTCAAATCAGCGTTTCTTTTCAGCACCACTGTCCATTGTTCCTCATCAAGTGCTTTGTCAGAGCACTGCTGCTGGGGAACAAGAGCAAATAGGACTGCAGTTTTGCTTTTCTTTCCCCACCCCCCTCCTACCCGGATTTCCCTGCTCTCCCGGTAAATGTCCTTCTCTTCCATCTTCTCAAACAACAGAACTCTTCCTGGCCCAGCAGAGCAGGCAAATCCTTTCGAATAGGCAGCGATGGCAAACACCTGGGGCACGGCCACGCGGTCTGTTTGGCTAGTGGTTGTCACCATCTGCTCATAGGAAGGAAGCGGGGAACTGACTGGTGGAAATTTGACCAGGCTGGGAAAGGAAGATAGCACATAAAGTTTTCAGAGACAATCCCAAAGAGATGAGTTCTTTTTCTTCCCAGTACTGGGGACTGGGCCCAGGGGTAAATTACTATTGAGCTACACTCCCACAAAATTGCCCAGGCTGGCTTTGAACTTTTGATCCTTCTGCCTCAGCCTCTGGCATAGCTGGGATTATAACTGTGGATCATCATGCTCAACCCCAAGGAGATTAATTCTGTTTGGGAAAAATAGAGGGCAATCCTCAGATGTGAGAGAAGTCACCCACTGATCCCCTTTCCAGGCCTTTGGCCTGAGAATGCCACACAACTCCAAAGAGAGAAGAATGGCAGGCTTTCCATTTATTTGGTAGTTTTGCAACCCTTTGTGGGGAAATATAGCAACAATGATGATGATTCTCATTTTGTTTAGAAATAAGAGGCTTAGGTCTGGGGATTTAGCTCAGTGGTTCCGGCACCTGCCTTGCAAGGGCAAGGTCCTGAGTTCAATCCCTGGTACAAAAAAAAAAAAAAAAAAAAAAAAAGAAATAAGAGGCTTAGAGGGGTTGGGTTTTCTAAGATCACACAACTGGTAAGTGGCAGAGCTGAGATTTAAATACAGATCTCCATTTTTAATCTATTTCACTAATTCACTAAATAAATATGTTTGTTTATAAATATTTGTTTGGAGTTAAATTGTGTTAATGGCCCCATGAAACAATGGTAAATAAGACTGACACAGTCCTTGTCCTCATAAGCTTACAGTCTAGGGAGAGTTGAGCTAAGGGCTGTCAGGGGCAGCTGAGCATGATGGGAGGAGGTGGCTGGCAGGTAACAAGGGCTGAGGGCAGGCACAGAGCAGGTGCACTCATTGGAGGTGAGCAGAGGCTGAGAGCCCTGAGAGACAGGACCATGTAGGATAAATAGAAGCGTGTCAAGTACGTACATGTGTCTGGGGTGTGCAGTGGCTGGGGAGACAGAGGGAGCTGAACATGGCCAAGCCCACAAGCGGGTGAGTATATGGGGCATGTGAGGCAGCTGAGGGTACACGTTAGGGAGGCGAGAGCTGTGGCATTTCTGGGGTGAGCTAAGAAGCTTGGGCTTTGTGCTGGGAGCACTGGACCCACTGAAGGACTGCACACACAGCAAACTGGAGGAGGGCATAGGGCAGTGAGTGTGACTCTTTTAGAGCTTTCAATGACACAAACAGCTCACTGTGCCATATGTTCACCATCACTGGCATAGGGACTTCTTAGGAAGCTCCTACAGAATCATGACCAAAGAGGAGAGGTCACTGGCATGGGGGAATGGTTAAAAATGGGTGGGCTGGAAGTTACTAAGGAATAAGAGTACACAGGATGCCATGTGGTTGAGAGTTTGGGCTCTTGGTTCAGACAGATCTGGGTTTGAATCCTGATCCTGCCACTTAACAGTGCTATGATCTTGGGTGAGTCGCTTAACCTCTTTGAGCCTCAGTTTCTTGATCTAGAAAATGGGCATGATAATCACATGTACTATGTAAGGAAAGACTAAAATGGGAACAGAGAGTCTTTAAAGCAGTTCCTGATACACTCAGCGGTACATTCCAATATGTGTGAGATATGATGGCCCCTGGTTATAACAAAGGTTAGACTGACCATCCTTTCTTGAGACTTCCCTTTATCCCACACCCTTCTGTCAGATTTACTTAAAATGTTTCCTTGTGCTTCTTTGTTGATCTTTTGCCTCCTAACTGAACTGTAGGGTCCTCAAGACCTCATGAGATGCCTTGCTCAGTGGACATTTATCTAATCAGTGAAGTAAATTAGATAGCCAGCCACTCAAAAATTTTCTTGAAAAAAACCTTTAATTTTGAAACTAGTCTTACTAAAATGTTTATGAAATGGAGTCAGGTATAAAAATAAAAATAACTGTGTCTTCATTATAATGCAAATTTCTGCTCGAAGACAGATGGACCCTAAAAGGAAGAAGGAAAAAGTATGAAATTGGGTTTAAGGTAGAGGGGTCTGTGAAGTGTTTGGAAGGGCTTTTGAAGAAGGCTACCTCTATACAATGAGCGGGGACACCAGCCCTGCAGCCTTTTACCTCTCTGACTCCGGAATGACGTCCAGGCTCTTGGAGCCACTCGTGGGCTCCTTGACCATTATGTTTGTCTCCCAGCGTTGATCTCCAGATTCAAAGAGCAAGAGCTTGCCTGTGTCTGTGCCCACGATAATCTTGTCATCAGCCAGCCAGGCATGGGCTAGGTAGTTTTGAAGTTCTCCTCTCTGAGAATTGGTCTGCTTTAGGGTGCCCTCAGCAAAATGGAGAAGCTTAAACATCCCTTTTCCAGTGATGCAAACCTGAGTGTTATCCTGGGGATTGATGCTCACCTGTAATAAGTGACAGAATAAAATGACTTATAAATAGAATCTTGATGGAATTATTTCTAACTTTACTAATTAACACCCATTTCATTAATGGTCCTTCCTTTTATATATCACTAAATCATAGGATTTTATACCACATTTGACAAAGGCACATATCTATACCCATTATGTGCAGGGCTTATATGAGTCAAACTAGGAAATCTGCAAAGGTGAAAAAGCAGAACAAGCAGGTTTTGACAATAGCTAAGCTCTGTGCTAACAGAAAGGAATGGAGCTCAGCAGGAAACAGAGAAATGAGGGCTGGGCAGGTGCCTGCAGACCTATCCGGGGGGAAGAAACCTCATAGGAGGGCATGCTGGGTAGTCTCCCATCAACTTCCACTGGATGGGAAGCAGCTTTGTGGGCTGTGGCTTCTTTATCTCTGTATTTGAAGCACTGGGTTTATAGTGGGCATCCAATACATGTTCATTGAATCTACTCTTTGCTCTGAACTGGGATATTTCATTAGGATTCATTATGGCCGGCATGAAATAACCTCCAGGGTCTGCCTGCCTTTGATCATCAAGCAACCTTCTGATGACTAATTTCAGCTCTCACTTCTCTGTATTAGGAACAGAATACCCTGGACAAATGATGTGTGTTCTGGTTATAATGTGCTCATTTATTTTATTTTTATTTTTTTTGGTACCAGGGATCGAACTCGGGTCCTTGAGCTTGCGCAGCAGGTGGCGAAAACCACTGAGCTAAATCCCCGGCCCTACGTGATATGTCTTGGTTCTTATTTTTTCCCCATTTCATGTCCTCCCTTCACCCCCTCTACCCTTCCCTATTTACAAAGATTTTGTTGTATTTTTTCCTTTTCTCATAATTTTTCCTCTCCCTTCTTTCCTTTCCCCTACCCCTCCCACTTCCTCTATCCCTTTGGACCTTTTCTTCCTATTTCACATTATCAATTATTCATTTTAATCATTATTTACACTTTCAGTTTCTCACACCAGAGAAACTGTTCAGTATTTACACATGTGTGTCCTATTTATTTCACTTGAGTATGGCCTCGATATGCATCCATTTAGCTATAACTGTCTCTAGTTTCTCGTTCTTTATGGCTGAGTAGTACTCCATTTTATAAAAAACTACATCTTCTTTATCCAGTCTCCAGTTGATGGGCACTTGGGCTGTTTCCAAGCTTTAGCTATTACAAACTGTGCTGCTATAAACATGGGTGCACATATATCGCTGTGGTATGATTCTTTTAATTCTTTTGGGAAGACATCCAGTAGGGGAATAGCTGGGTCAAATGGGACCTCTAGTCCTAGTTCTCTGAGGTATCTCCATACAGATTTCCACAGTGGTTGCACCAGTCTATACCCCCACCAACAATGGAGAAGGGTTCCTTTCTCCCCACAACCCCACCAACATTTGTTATTGGTTGATTTCTTGATAGCAGCCATTCTTTCTGGGGTGAGGTGGAATGAGATGAATAATTGAGTCTATGCTTGAGGCACTGATTAGCGAGTATGTTTGAATATGAGCAAAACTGAATTTGTGAATTTGTGAAACAGACTGGGGCTACTGTGCCAAGACAAAAACCTTGGGAATTGGTGCCTTAGCAGGCAGCAAGCTATCTAGTAGGTTTTCCTTATTTTGCCCTCAAATCAATTCTGAGCCCTAGATAACTGCTACTTCTTCAACAACTTCCTAAAGATCTACCATTTTACTCCTCATATCTTCCTAGTGCCTAAGAATACTAATGGGAAGAGGCTAGAACCAAGGGGGTGGGGAGAGATGAGAGAGAGAGAGAGAGAGAGAGAGAGAGAGAGAGAGAGTTTTATGCGTCTAGCACTGGGCCTAACCTCTAAGCAGAAAGCAGTTCTGAGCCATGAGAAAGAAGACAAGAGCTAGAATCAGAGAACTTCTGGCTCTGCCATTCACCACCTGTGTGATCTTGGAGATGAGTTACTTAATCTCTTGGAGCCACAGTTCCCTCATCTATAACATGGGGATAATAATCATGCCTTCCTTACAGGATGTTGTAAGACTAAATTCTTAAAATGTGTGTAAGAAATGAGCACCGTGGTACAAAGGAAACATTCAATAAGAGACAGCTCTTAATATTTTATAATCTGCAAGGTACTTCTTATACTAGGAGTTACCTGGTAGACAGGATTGTTCTGAGTGTCAGCTCTAATAATGGCCATCACTTTCTGCTTTTCCCAGAGCCAATAGACAAGATTTGATTCTGGAGGTGATGTCTGAGTCAGGAGGTATTTGGAGTCTGGAGAAAAAGCCATGCTTGTAAATCTCTGAACTGAGAAGTCAAAATTACTAAGAACTTTGCGCTTCCGGCAAGGGATTGATGACAGTTCATAAATGGTGATGGCGGGTTTCTCTTGTACAATTTCAGAGATAGCGAGGTATCGTCGATTGGGACTGATGGACAAGGTCAACATGCTCTGACTCTTGTCCGAACCTGCAAACAGAGAAAAAAGGGAGAGCGTGGGCAGATGATGCTTTCACCAAGATTCAATCATACATAGTAGTGGCACTGCTGACACAAAGGAGAAAGATGTGTAAAAATGTAACTACAGGTCCCTGGCTATCCTTGCTGCAACCACATCTAGGGTATTATGACTAGGATGGACACCTCACTGAGGATGAGGTGGGGAAAGGCAAGGAATCTTTCCTGGTGTAGGATGAGGTGGGATGTTGGGGGCACACGTCAGGAAGAGCTTGAACAAAGCTGTGGATGTATTAAAGGGCACAGCACAGCGAGAGAACTGCAAACAGTGGGTTATTGCTGGGACTCTGCATGTGAGTCAGGGGTGATCAAAAATCGGTCTAGGAGGGCAGAATAGGGTCTTATCATAGAAGCTTTCATGCCCTGAGTGCTGAGCACTCAACAATTCCTCTACTCCAGAGACTGGCATGCTTGTGAATGGATCTGTCAGCCTCTCTTGCAGTTAGTTACGTGAGGACATCCTGGCCATGCGATTGATGCAGAAGTCTGCCAGAGTGGTTTATGATAAAGCTTTGTGTTTTCCTGAAAACTATGGACAGGCCAGGCATGGTGGCGCACATCTGTAATCCTAGTAGTTGTGAGGTTAAGGCAGGAGGAATCGCTGCAAGTTTGAGGCCAGCCTGGACTACATAGTGAGACCTTGTCTCAAAACAAAACAAAACAAAACAAAGCAAAGCAAAACAAAGCAAAACAAACAAAAACTAGGGACAGATGCATTCCTGGAATATAGAGGGGATCCCTGGATATGCAGCAGTCATTTTGCAACCATGAAATAATAAGCATAAAAATGAAAGCTGTGGTCCTCCAGAAAGTGGAGCCTTCGGCAAAGATTAGAGTGTAAATATTTTATTCAAGAAATGCAATAAGGAGCTGGGGATTTAGCTCAGTGGTTCCACCACCTGCCTCGCAAGTGCAAGGTCCCAAGTTCGATCCCCAGTACCAAAAAAAAAAAAAAAAAGAAATGCAATAAGGCCACATTATAATTTTTGTGGGCCTTGGGCACTTTTGCTTTCATGGGTCCCTTCTTCCACTAAAAATGGCAAAAATATGTTTATTTTTATATACTATTTAAAAATATATAGTCAGTCATATATTTGATGGCTGCATTGATATAAAAAGGAGTATAATCAAGACTGGATTCATTATTATATATTCATTACTGTTAAATTCATATATATATATATTTTCGTACAGGGGATAAATTCATATTTTTTTCTGATTTTAAAACAAAAAGTATTTTCATGGGCTTCTAAAAGTATCATAGGCCTTAGGTACTGTGCACTGTGGATAAGTTATTGATGATGCAGGTCGGTCAGGAGGAGATGAGGAGTGAGGCAGGGCAAGATGCGCTAGAAAGTGATGTGAAGGGTCTCCCGTGACGTGCTCCATGCTGCTGGTTCAAAAGGCAAGGAGGGAATGACAAGCTGCTTGGCAGCATCTTGTCTACCAGGGTCTCCCCTGGAAGGGCTGCAGGCAGCAACTGCATCTCAGAAAAGAACCAGGCTCTAGGTCACTGAGCACCTCACACAAGAGTTTGGGGTTCAGCTGGGAGGCAATGGAAGCCACTGGAAAATTTTCTTCCCTCCCTCCCTCCCTTCCTTCCTCCTTTCCCTCCAATGTGTGTTGTAGGAAGAGCCCTCTGGCAGCTGTAGGGAAGGCAGTCTTGGAGGGAAGGAAACCAGTCAGAAGACCATTTGAAGAAATGAGAGGTGATGGTAACAATAGGCAATATAAAGGTAGAAAGAGTGATAGGAATGGAGGGGATACAAAGTTAGACAAATGCTAAGAGGTAGAATCAGTAGCACTTAGTGATCTCCTGGGTTTTAAGAGGGAGAGATGTAAGTATGAATGACATTTAGGTTTCTGGTTTAGGCGTCTCGGAGGGGTGGTAACCCTCAGAATGTAGGCAGAAGTTGGGAGTTCTCTTAATTACTTTCTCATTGCTGGGGCAAAACACCCAACACCCAAAGTTAAAGGAGGAGAGGTTTATTTTGGCTCATAGTCGGCCAGCTCCAAGGCAGGGTGGCATAGCAGAGGGGCATTGTGGAGGAGTAAGAGCTCATGGCCACACCTTTCAGGCCACACCCACACGGACGCATCTCTTCCCACCCGATTCACCTCTCATCATTGCACCTAGCCATAAACCTGTCAGTGGACTAAGCCAGTATCACACATCGTGATCCAGTCATCTCCTAAAGGTGCCATCTATGAGTGCACGAAGATTTGGGGGGACACCTAGATATTAAACTGTAACAGGGGTGATGGTGAAGATTATGTTCGTTGACTTTTGTTTAAAACGACAAAACAAATATTTGATATTTTTTAGGTGTATGTGTATCTAGTTTTTTTATGGTTTGATTTTTTTTTTTACCCTTCAGTCTTTGATCCATCTTGGGTCCATGATGGTAAAAGACAGGAAGTGAAGATCCAAATTTGTTTCCATTTGTCTAATATTTGACTAGTTGTCCCAGCACTAACTACTAACACCACCTTTATAATATATTAAAATTATACATTTACACATATTTTTTGATTTCTTGGGTATTGATGTTAGGGCTATATTGCTTTCGCAATCATATCTATATCATATGTTTGAGTATGTGGCAGGAAAGGTCTCAATGAAAGAGCATGAGAAATAAGGGAATGATAAATTGGATTTTGGATATAATGTGTGAGGTCCATCTTGTGGAATGTTTGGGTAAAGAGGTCTAGCAGTTGGATATGATTCTAAAGCTAGAGGCAGAAGTTGGGACTGAAAAAATGGATTTGAGGTAAAAAGCAAAACAAAAATTTCCCTAAACCAAACAAAAGAACAACAAAAAAATGAAATAAGACATGTAATATAAGGACAAACATTATATATCTGGTCAATTATCTATCAGAAATAGGGATGAAATAAAGGATTTTCAAACAAACAAAAACTGGGAGAGTTTAGCACTAACACATTATCACTCAATACAGAAGGAAAATTATTCCAGCTGGAGTACAGAGTATTGGTGGCAGAGATGAGTAAACATGAGAGCAAATATAAACAAATATTGTCTGGATAAAATGATGATTGATTTAATATTAGAAAATCATATGATCTTATATAAAAAACAAAATGCATACATTAAAATTCAATATGTTTACTGGGATCTTAAAAAGCATAGCAAATTAGAAAAAGAAAGAAATTTCCCTAACTTGATAAAGGACACTGACAAATCCCTATAGTAAACATCCTTCTTTATAAGAAAATGTTAAAAGAATTCCATTTTACAGCAGAAACGTGACAAAGATGTCCATTTTCATTGGCCCATTTGAGTCTGTCTGGAGATGCTTACCACTACTGTAACACAAGAAAAAGAAATCAAACCAACATTATTTGTAGATAATATGTAGAAATTCCAAAGAATCTACACATAAGTTATTACAATTAATGATAATTTAGCAAATACACTGGACACAGAAATTAATAAGTCAACTGCATCTAATAAGTTTATTACAACAGATATTACATAGTGTTTGATAAATTTGACTCCATTAAAACTAAGAATTTCTGTCCATCAAAAGGTACCATAAGGAGGAATAAAATATAAGCCTCAAAGGTGAATTATTTGTAACACATACATCTGAGAAATGATTAATAGACAGACTATATAAAGTATGCCCATAAATCAAGGAGAAAGTTACTACAAAAATCTTAACCTCCACATAAAAGATAGAAAATGAGTAAAAGACTTGAAAAAAGTATCTAACATAAGGCTAAATAGAAATAGACTATAAACGTGTGAAGATACTCATCCTTATTAACAATAGAAAAATGCAAACTAAAATGACAATAAGATACCTTTTGTCAAACACTAGTATAGGAAAAACATTAGGAAGTCCAATAACACTAAGAGCTGGTGAAGCTGTGGAGGAATTTTGGCCCTTTATGCATTGCTAGTGGGAATGTAAATTGGCACTATCTTATTTTTTGGTAATTTTAGTCTTGGCTGTGTGCCCTGGAGAATCTTTGTACAAGTAAAGGTGCATATATGAATGCAAGAGTGTTTATAGTGGCAGGTTTCTAATAGCAAACAACTGTTATTTTCCTAGTATCTCTCAAACCTAGAATGGATATCTCTATATATCTCTCTCTCCATCTATATATTTGAGACATTGTATCCATAGACTACAACACTATATTGAATAAAATGAACTCAATATATCTATATATCCATATCAAGATGCATGAATCCCCAAAGCATCTTGTTGAACAAAAAGGTCACAGAATACATAATTATGATTCCATTTATATAAAGTGAGAAAATAGAAAAAAAGCATATTTTACATAAAGTGACACATATATGGTAAAATTATACAGGAAATAATCATAAAATCCAAGATGGGGTGTGTGTGGAGTGTGGGAAGAAGACAATGGGGAGAAGCAATGGAACTGGCAAAGTTTTATTTCCTATCCTGAGTGGTTGGGTTCAAAGATCTTCATTTTATAGTAATTCTTTAAGTATGACATATATATAATAAATACTTTTTTATAAGCACATGTCACAATAAAATGTGTTCAATGCAAGAGTGGGAAAAAAGTGAATAGATTGAATTGTCATCAATACGATCTATAGGACTAATGTGAACAAAAACAAATCTAATGTTATACACATAGTTATTTGTGATGTAGGTAAAATTTCTAGTGTCTTCATGATACAAGTATTCAAAAGGTATAATCAAGGTGGTGTGCTTTTAAAAACAGACAACTCCCAAAGGCCTCTGGTGATGACAAAGCCAATGATACTGAAGATGTGTGAAGAGATTCATCAAGCTAATTTTTCAAGATATTGCAGTGAAAAATACTTTTAACACTGTATATATGGTTTTAACTGAGTCTTTGATTAATCTATAATTAGTAATGCAAGCTTACATTTATATCCTCTACATTTATAAAATTATATGTATATTTCATCTGCTAAAAAATTTTTTTTTGTCAATCATAGTGTTGAGATTATGGCGTTCTATATGGCACATGCCATTAATACATATGTTAGGATGCAAAGGATTGTACCTGGAATGAATTTTTGCCATTTCTGATCTACGTTGTACTTCACACAGTGATTTCCTGCAGGAAATATTACAATCTGTTCATCGAAGAAGAGGATATTGTTGGCTACGTGAGATCGAAGACCAAAGGCATGCAGCGACTGAGCTACCACGGTCGACATTATACCTGTCCAGAGTTCGCCTAAAGTCAGAGAGCAGCCAGAATGTAAGCGCGCCCCTCCCCGCCCCTCCCCGCCCCCTCTTCGCCCCTTCCCTCCCCGCCCCTCCTCGCTTCACCTCGCCCCGCCCCGCTTCGCCTCGCCTCAGGACACGCCCCCCACCCCCCAAGTCTTTCTCAGCCTCCTCACTCCTTCCCGAAGTTCCGTCTCCCCTTTCCTTTCCTCTCTAGTGCTTCCAGCTCGTTCTGACAACTCTCAGGGATCCATTCCCACCTTTTGCCTTTTCTCTCTGAGTCACCAGACCATGCAAGTATCCAGAGTCTTTAGCTCTGCCTGTCCCAAGCAATTGGTGCACAGCCGTACACCGGAGCAGTTCCTATGGCAACCACAAACCGGAAGTGTGTCTCAGCGCCGGAAGCGGAAGTCCCGTTCGAAACGCCGAGCCGGAACGGCGAGTTGGTGGCCCCAGTCTAGTTTGAGCGCACGTGGGAAGGCGGCGTGCGAGTTGGGGTCGAAGGCAAGAGCCTGGGTGAGAGCTGGTCTGTGCCAGCTGCCCGGGCCTCGGGCTGACCCGCCCCTTCGGGTAGGCGTGGGGCTGGCGGGCTTCGAGATGGACACTCCCCTCTCAGGCTCGGACTCGGATTCTGATGATTCTCTAGTCACGGACAGAGAGGTAGGGGACAGCGGAGCTCGCGGGACTGGGCTTGGGAGAAGGGGCCTTCTTCTTCTAGTTATGACCGAGACTGTGCCCTGCAGTTGCAGGATGCATTTTCCTGCGGACTCCTGAAGCCAGGCCTCAATGTCGTGCTCGAGGGGCCGAAGAAGGCCGTGAACAATGTGGTGAGCTCGGGCGCCGGGTCGGACACCGTGCTTGGAGATGGGAAGCGCATTCGGAGGAGTTGTGCTTGGGAGGCTGATAATTGTCACAAGGAACACACATTTGCCAAGAGGGTCGATTATCTGTCAGGGTATTTGGTTAACGTTTCGTCTGTTGGCTTAGCACCCGAAACAAACTCAGTGTTCTAAGCTCTATGTCTGAATTATCTAGAATGGCCTGAAGCAGTGTTTCGTCGAATTCAAGCGGAGTCTAGAATGGGTTGAAAGGCTCGATGTGACCCTGGGTCCTGTGCCGGTTGTCAGTGGACCTGAGCCAACACCTCAGAACAAGGACCCGAAAGCTGTTAATCCAGAAGACGACTTCCAGCGGGAAATGAGTTTGTATGTTTGTTTGCCGCTGTGGGAGAAGTTGGGGGTGTTCTTGTGCTAGAGGGTGAGGGGAGAGGACAGTAGTGAGCCCTCAACCTCAGAAACCCCAGGGGGTTAGGTTAGGCCTGGGAATGGAGAGGGAGTTAGGAGATTCTCTTTGGCTGAGAAAAGAGCTCAGTGTTTTTGGGTCTGCGTTTAGTCACTAGAACAAACTTTGCTTACAAAGGGTTCTTGTGAGGACTTTTCTTTAGTGATTACATAAGAATTCATAATTGACATTTGCTTGTGTGTTAATGGGTATGATGGTTATCCTTTTATACTACTAATTTATTTTTTAGCAACTCTTCTTCCCTGTTGAAAAAATGATGTACAGTGAAATTTCTCTGGGATATCAAATTAGTGAGGTTTTATTACAGTGTTTGTTTTATTCCTTTGTTCTTACTAGTGGAGGTCAGATATTGATAGTCCTTCTAGTCTTGGATAACTGAGAGGCAGTAAGAAGGCATGGAAGTCTTTCTCCCTCATCTCATACCTCACTTTATCTACCATCTCAGCTACGGCCAGGCTCAGGCAGCAGTGCTTGCAGTATTACCACGCCTCCACCAGCTCAAAGTCCCTACCAAGCGGCCCACTGATTATTTTGCGGAAATGGCCAAGTCTGATCAGCAGATGCAAAAGGTAAGAAATGAAATTTTTCTCTGGAAAGCCAAAGCTTTGTACTGAAATGTTGGTGGATTTATCTCCTATAATGTTCTAAAAAATAGATGTAAGTCCAATACTGGGGAGCTGATTGTTAGAGACAATTATCATCTCTTCTAGAAATTCACTACTTCAGAGTCATGGCAGATACCACCCATTAGATAAATGTGAGAATTACATTTTCTTAATTTAAATGATTAAGAAGAGAAGAAGTACTATAAGGAGTATGGTCTCTGAAGTGAAAGTGGGTTTTGTGTTTCCTACCTGACATGGTAATGGCATGGTGTGTTTTTTGTCCTGCTGTTGCCACTGAGCAGTGCTGTCACAGTTTGTCTTCTCTGGGATTCAGTTTTCTAGGAATGAGGAATTACTATATGGCTCACCTGTAGTATAAAACAGTTAGGTAGAACATGGTCCTCGTTTAATTTTGAGAGGAAGAGGATTTCTAACATATATCCAGGATATTTTTAAATACTTCCCTTGGGTTTCAGGCAAGATTTTATGAAGGCCTTGTCTAGGTGGTACTGAAAGAACTTCGTCTGGAGGCTAGCCCAGATATATCTCGTACATTCACACTTACAACTTATTTTTAACTGAAATGTGTATGTTTGGTGTTGGATATCTGTTGGAGTTTTTCTTGTTTATGTGGCTAATTAGAGAAAGTCATTGAAGTTGCATGCTGTTTTGTAGACATTAAGGATGGAGAGTAATTGGTCTTTCTTAAACTACAAGCAGACATTTTTGTATATGGAACAATCACCACAGTGGGAGTGGGAAGTTCACTTTTAATCTCTGGCTGTACCAGTGCCACGTTGGTGCATTAGGCAAACTGTTGGGCCTTTGGGCCTTATTGTCCTCATGTGTAAAATTCATGGGTTAGAATACAGTAAATGATTTATACCATAGTTTGCAGAACTGAGAATATCTGTTCCTTGTTTCCTTGCTCTCTAAGATTGTCTGACAACATTTTGTTTGCATTTTAGATTCGACAGAAGCTACAGACTAAACAAGCTGCCATGGAGAAGTCTGAAAAGGCTAAGCAACTGCGAGCACTTAGGAAATATGGAAAGAAGGTGAGAAAGAAAATGTGCAGGAAATAGGATGGGGCCAGTTATGTCTGTCCGATTAGATTGCTGTGGTCTGATTTGATTTCATGCCTTGTATGGGCTTGATCACGTACTTCCTGTCTCATAGTAGAGTGTGTGTGTTGGGATTCTGCAGCACTGTGGAAGTGGCAGGCAAGCTAGTCATCTCTCTGGAGTTTAAGTTCCGCATCCATATGGTGAAGAGTTGATTCAGATCAGAAGTTTCTAAACATTACATCTCAGCAAAATTAGGGAAAAATTTTGAAGTATTTCCAGGCTCCAGAATTTCTGGGAATCTTTGTATGCTTTCCCTTTTCTCTAAAAAGCCTCCCAGGTACTTATGATTTGTGTCCTGGATGTGACACACTGTTCTCCATGATTGTCAGGTCACTGGAGAAATTATTCTATTGATCATCACCCAGTCTGAGAAGTAAAGGGTCACCCATGTGTTTCACTGTGACTGTTGGAGTTCTAATGTAAAACCAGGTTAGGCATTCCACAAAAGCTTTTTGGTTTTTCTTTTCTTTTTTTTGGTACTGGGGATCATACTCAGGACCTTGTGCTTGCAAGGCAGGCCTGGTTCCACTGAGCTAAATCCCCAGCCCTGGTTTTTCTTTTCTGTTGTATAAGTCACCTAAGAAAGAAGATGACAGGAATTAGGGTTGGGGAAAGAACGAATGTGAGGAGTTTCTTCATGGATGTTAAGCATTTGTCAGCATTTTTTTTTTTTTTTTTTTGTACTGGGGATTGAACTCAGGTCCTTGCGCCTGTGCAGCAGGCGGTGGAACCACTGAGCTAAATCCCCAGCCCATTTGTCAGCATTTTGAATGTAACATTTATGGGCTGAGGCTGAAGTTGTCCACATTTGGGGTCATTTCATTGATGGATTCCCAGCACAGGAAGAGTAGATGAGCATTCTCTCCTCTGCAAAAAGTCTGCTGTGGATTTTGTGTTTCAATGATTTGGAATTGAGTGGCCAATATTATCTCAAAGACACTGACAATTAGTTGAATATAACCTAATTTATCAAGAAAACGTGAAGTTTATCAAAGAAACACCGTTGGGCCTGTTGGTTTGTTGTTTTTTATTTGAGAAAACCTTTGGGCAGTGCAAAACTTGGGCAAACTTCTCAAACTGAGAAGTTTGAGGTAATTTTGCCTCCTCTGCCCCTTGCCCCATTTATCCTTGTCTGGATGTGTCAGTTGTCACATCTTGGGTTGAGGGTGCTACTGGTACCTAGTGGATAGAAGGCAAGGATGGTGCTAAATATCCTAAAATGCACAGGAATAGGCCTCACCCACCAACAAAGGATTGCTCCTTCTAAACTGTCAGTAGTGTTGAGATTGAGATGCTCAACCCCACTGGCTGTTAGAGAAATGCAAAGTAAAACAACACTGAGATTCCACCTTATCCCAGAAAGAATGGCCATCATCAAGAAATCAAATAATGGCAGGCATGGTGGCACATGCCTGTAATCCCAGCACTCTGGAGGCTAAGGCAGGAGGATCACTGTGAGTTTGAGACTGGTCTGGGATACATAGTGAGTTCAAGGCCAGCCTGAAGTGAGACCCTGTCTCAAAAAACAAATAAACAAAAAAAGAAATCAAATAATAACAAAGGCCAAAGAGGCCCTTGGGGAAAGAGGAGTCCATCTACACTATTGGAGTTCCTTTGTTCTTTTGGAGTTCTGCTACTTGGTCTTTTGTGTTTTTATAAATAAATCCTTTTATTTATTTATTTTATTAGTACATGCTTATAGTACATGTTTACATTCCTTTTGGGGAGTTGGAACATGTATATAATACATCCTAATTTCTTTCATGTTCTTCCCTTCCTTCTTTCCTCCTCCATTCATCTCTTGATTCCCTTCTTTTTCTGGGTATATATTTGCAGCACATAGTGTTTATATTCTTGTGCGGTGTTGGTACATGCACATAACACATCTTAATTCCTTATTCATCCCCTTACTTCACCTCTTTTCTGTCTCCCTCTCCTTTGATTCCCTTTTAGAATGATCTGCCTCCCTACATTTTATCATCTATCTTTTATTTTGCTCTTTATACTTTGGCTTTCTCATGAAAGAGAAACCATGCAGTATTTAAGCTTGTGTGTCTCAAAACACATCCATTTTCCTACAAATAATTCATATTTCTTTATGGCAGAGTAGTACTCTATTGTGTGTAAAAACCACATATTCTTGGTTTTTGTTTTTTTTTTTTGTACCGGGAATCGAACTTAGGACCTTGCACTTGAGAGGCAGGTGCTGGAACCACTGAGCTAAATCCCCGGCCAAAAACCACATATTTATCCATTCATCTGTTGATGAACATACTGTATGTGCTTCCAAGATTCAGTTATTTTGAATTGTGCTGCTATAAACATGGGTATGCATGTATTGCTAATATTATGTCTTTAACTCTCTTGGGAAGAAAACTAGAGGAGAATAGCTAGGTCTAGTTTCAGTTTTTTGAGGAATCTGATTTTGAAAGTGATCATACTAGTTTACATTCCCACCAATAGTGTAGAAGGATTTCTTTTTCCCCACAGCCTCTCCAACCTTTGTTATTTGATTTCTTGATGATGATCATTCTTTCTGGAATAAGGTAGAATCTCAGTGTTGTTTCACTTTGCATTTCTCTAACGGCCAGTGGTGTTGAGCATTTCTTCATATATTTATTGGCCGTTTGTACTTCTGTGAAGCATCTATTCATTTTGGTTGCTCATTTTTGATTGTGTCTTTGTCTTTTATTTTGGGTGGTCTAATTTTTTTGAGTTCTTTATATTATTAGATTTTCTTTTTTTTTTTTTTTTTTTTTTTTTTTAAAGCTTTTTAGTTTTTCCTTCTATTTTCTGGTGAGATTTTTTTTTCTCTTCTGGTATTTCCAGCCCTTGTAACAATGGGTTGGACATTTAATCTGGCCAGTTGTAACTACTGGGCAAAACTGAATGTAGACTCAAACATTTGCTAGTTTTGTAGGCAGGATTGTATGCTGCGGTAAAAGTGCAAGCTTTGGAGGAGGACTGCCTGGATGTGAATCTGAATTTTGTACTTTTTTGCAGTGTAACTTGGGCAAGAATGTAACCACTCTGTGCATTCATTTAGTAGATAATAAGAATATAAACTTCATTGAATGGTTATGAAGAAGAACTAAGCCCTTAGCATAGTTTTGGGCATGTATAAATAATTGGTAGTGGTGCGAATCACAGTGTATTTCTGTGTGTGTTTTGTAATACATTATTATTATTGAGAGAATGTAGACAGTTGGAATAATTTCCTTATGTCCACACTACAGGTGCAAACAGAGGTTCTTCAGAAGAGGCGGCAGGAGAAATCACATATGATGACTGCCATTAAGAAATATCAAAAAGGTCAGCACATCTTTGCTAAGGATGTTGGGGAACAGGGAGGGGTATTAGGTGCCTTACAGGTACTTTGGGCACACAGTTCTTTGATGTCTTCTTGAGGTGGAAATGTGGACCTAAGTTTTGCCAATGGTGCAGGGAACAAGGTGCTTCTTAAAAACTTAAAAAAAAATACAGAAGTGCTGATCAGAATGCTTCTACTCACAGGCTTCTCTGATAAATTGGATTTCCTTGAGGGAGATCAGAAACCTGTTGCCTGGGGCACAAAGGCAGGAACTAAAGGCCAGCAGATGAAGAAAGGGTAAGAAACATGCTGGTTTGGTTTACTTCTTTGGTGTGTGATGAGCCAATAGTGCATGAGCATGGTGGGGACCTCCCAGGAGTGGCCCTGAATGGAGAGAGTGTGGCCACTGCAATGGCTAAGACTTACAGTGCCTTGTGATGGGTCTCTAGCAATGTGAGTCTTTGAAGATGACAACAAGGTGTTTGCCTAATTTAAAGTTACTGCTGCATCACTGTGGTCCCCCTGCTCGCAGTGTGATGGTAAAGAGTACAGATCTAGGGTTCAGATCCAGATTCTGTCACTCGGTAGGAAGGTAGCTTTGAGCAAGTCACTTGTTAATGGCCTCATCTATTCTCATGGGAAAATGGTTTGTGCCTCACTCATAGTACTACTATAAAGACAAAGGGAGAATGTTGACTGTTTTTATTCTATTTAATCCAACTTTCTGCACACCTGGACAGCAGGCCTAGGAGGAATGATAATTTTCATACTAACAGGAAGTGTTATGGATAGAAGCATTTAGAGACTATTATTAAGCACTGGGTCTGGGGATAGCTTCCTGAAGGAGGGCCCCCCTTGAGTCTAGTGTGAAGGATCAGTAAACATTGTGCAGAAAAGTAGGAGAGAAGCTGGTTTGGGGAAGAAGAAAGAACCTAAATTAGCAGAGGCACAGAGATGTGACACAGCAGGTTGGGTGTGAGGAGCAGCTGGTGTTTGGCACACTGGGGTGGTGAACCATGAGGTAAGGAGCAGCGAGGTGGGCTTGGGGCTTGCACTTTGCTGGCTGTACCCACAGTGATGAGTAGGTTATATCATTGTTTAGAAAGGTAATAGTGACAATTGCCTAGATGGACTTGAGGGAAATGACCAGATTGGCTGTTAGAAAAGCTCAGATGAACAGTGATCATACCCTAAAAGTATAGTCAAGAAGAGGAGGGGAAATGGATGAAAGAAATGCTGAAGAGGTTAAATGAGGTGGACTCAGTAACTAAATTGAGTACAGAGAGACAGCAGCCTGGGTGGCTGGGCAGATGGTAGCAGCACCAACCACAAGGTAGGTGTTTGTACTGGAGGTGGGGCCTGTCTAGGATGGGAGATGTTGTACTTTTGTATATACTGAGCTTGATGAGTTTTAGAATTTATCACATTTGAATGTTAGCTGCATATATATATATATATCTGAGAGGATAGAAACAACTGAGGGTGATTTAGCAAGATAGAGTGAAAATATAAAAGCTTTCTGAAGACAACAGAAAGCCATTATGTAGGTTCTTTCCTACTTTTTCTTTATTTTCCTGCTATGGGAATTAAAATCATACATAGACAAGGTTGCCTAAGGGAATCTGCGAGTAAAAATGTGGGCCAGTGATGGGATTTGGTGCCAGTGCCTAAGGGGCTTTTCACAAAGGAACCTGAGAGTATCTTCAGGTCACGAAGTTCACCAGGATTTATAGTGCTGTGGTAATCTATCTGGTCCCTTTTGTTCAGGCCCAGTGCCAAAAGACGATATAAAAACCAGAAGTTTGGCTTTGGGGGGAAGAAGAAAGGCTCCAAGTGGAACACTCGTGAGAGCCATGATGATGTATCCAGCTTCCGGGCCAAGACAGCACATGGGAAAGGCCTCAAGAGGCCTGGAAAGAAAGGATCAAATGTAAGTGAGCCAGGGGGCACAACTGAGGCAGGTTCAGCCTCCTCCCAACCCCACATCCTCCCTCTCCTTTGTCTGAGAGGTAAAGGGCTATGTGATATATGAGCACTTGTGGTTTTATTTTTGTATAGAAGAGACCTGGAAAACGAACAAGAGAGAAGATGAAGAACAGAACCCGTTAAAACAACATCTTTTTTAATGAAGAACAGGGAAAAAAGGATGAAGACATGGAATTTCACAATACAATTGGACCTTATCTCTTACTATTTTTCTTTTTTTTAATTGGAAAAAATTATTTTAATAAATTAAAAAAATTATTAACGAAACATATACCTTGGTTAAAAACTCAGAACTGGGGGGCTGGGGATTTGGCTCAGTGGTGCTGCCACCTGCCTTGCAAGTGCAAGGTCCTGAGTTCAATCTCTGGTACCAAAAAAAAAAAAAAAATTTGGCTTATATCTGCCAGCAATTTAGCTCAGTGATTTTGCTGCCTGCTGTGCAAGCCCAAGGACCCAAGTTTGGTCCCCGGTACCCAAAAAAACAAAAACAAAAACAAAACCCTGCAGAACTGAAAGATTTAGAAGTTACTTTGCATATTAAACAGTTTTGCTATTTATTAATAATATAAACTGATCCAGATTGCCTTTATTTTATGGTAGTCGAAGATTTAGTCTCTACTTCGCTCACTTCCTCTTCCCCATCCTTCCAAATAGTTTTATCACAGTCAGTTCTTACAAAGCTGGATGCATTATACTCAGATTTCCTCTGAGGCACTGTTGTAGGTTTTTCCTTGAGTTAATCATCATATATTTTTCCTTTTTTCTAATTTTCTCCCTGTGTCCTTATTTTTTCCATATATTTGTCATTTTGTCCACCTTAATGATTTTCCTGCTCCATGCTAGGTCTGCTATAAAACTGTCACCTTGTATTTTCTAGACCTTTAAGGTTGGCTCCAGTACTCCTGGGTCCCATACTTTCCCTCTTAACTTATGTTTCTTTTGATACATCCTGATGGCTAGTATGTTTTTAAGAAAGGGAATATGAGAGGTTAGTTTTTTATTAGTCGAGGCCATTTTTTTCTAAAATTGCCTCTAATTTGGCTGGCAAAAATTCTCCTTAAAAATGTCGAAGGCCCTTCTTTGTCTGGCAGCCTCTTGTGTTGCATTGAGGAATCTGGTGCCTTCTCCATTCTCGTTCTCTTTTGTGGCTTTCCTTGATCTGAAATTTTTTTTTTTTTTTTTTTTTGGTACCAGGGATCGAACTTGGGTCCTTGTGCTTTTGAGGCAGGCAGCTGAACCACTGAGCTAAATCCCTGGCTTGATCTGAAATTTTAAGTTCCCCTGCTTTAATGTTGGTTTGCTTCCTTTTTTTTTTTTTTTTTTACCGGGGATTGAACTTGGGACCTTGAACCACTGAGCTAAATCCCCAGCCCTGCTTCCATATTTTGATTAGAGTGTTTGGAAGGATTGAAGTTCTTTCTTTCTAGGAAATTCTATTTGATAACCTGTTTTCTTTGCCTTTTTGTTTTGTTCTGATTCTGAAATTTCTGTTGAAAGTTGAACATCTGCTGGTAACTCTTAAGTTTATATTTTGGTTCTACTTTGGGGGAAAGATTTCTTTGATTCTTTTTTCTATTTTACTGAATATTTTTGAATGTTTACTTTAGCTTTTTTTTTTTTTTGAGGCAGGGTCATACTGTGTAATCCAGGTTGACCTTGAACTCACTATGTAGCCCAGGCTATTCTTGAATTTGCAGTGATCCTCCTGCCTCTGCCTCCCAAATGTTGGGATTTCAGGTGTGTGGCACCACACCTGGCACTTTAGCTTTTACTTTATTCCTCCTAAGTTGTATATTCTCTAATTTGTCTATTTCATATCGTCTTTTACAGATGCAGTAATATGTCTCTGAGGATATGAATTATAGTTTTAACTTTTAAAAGATTTTGTGTTCTTTTCATTCTGTTTCCTCAGCTTTCTCCTTCACTGTGCATTTTGCCTACACATTTTCTATTTTGTTTTGTGTGTGTGTTTTATTTTTGGTACCAGGGATCAAACTCAGGACCTTGCAGTTGTGAGTGAGGCGTGGTGCCACTGAGCTAAGTCCCTGGCCCCTTGCCTACACATTTAAAAAAAGATTATTTTAATTGTACATAGTTTTTGAATCCAATGTGATATTTTAATACATGTATACTATCACTTCACAATACTACTGATCATTTTAGAGTAATTAACATTTTCATATCAGTACTTTTTGTTTGAAGTCTTTAGGCTCCTCCTACTTACTCATAAAATATAAGTTATTTTGAACAATAGCCATCTCACTGTGCTTTAGAACATTAGAACTTACTACTACTTTCTAAATGTGTATGGTACCTGTTACCCAATCTTCCTCAATTTACTCCTACCACCCTTCTCAGCATCTCGTAATTACTGTTCTGTATTCCATTCCAATTACTAAAGCATCCACATATGAGAGAGAAGTGCCATATGTGTCTTCTCCCTGTAGAAGTTAAAAGCTTGGACTCTTGGACCTGGTTTTTCTATTTACTTGCTGTTTGACCTTTGGCAAGTGAAGTTTCTGTGGTTTTTCATCTCTGACAAAAGGTTGACACAGTATAGGATCAATCTCTGGCTTTCAGCATTGAATTCATATGTGTAGAAAGTTTAGGACATTGCCTGCCATGATATAATCCAATTATTCTGTATCTAATAATACTCCATATACCCTTGTTTAGGATTATTTTGCTTGGGTAGTACATTGGTCTGTTCTTTGTTGGTATAGCAAAATACCCAAGGCTGGGAACTTTATAAATAAAGGAGGTTTTTTTAGCTCAGCTTTGGAGGTTAAAAGTTCCAAGATTGGGCAGCCTCATCTTTTAGGTCTCTGATAAGGGCCTCATGGCTGCTGGCACAGTGATTGTGGGAGCATGATTAGAAGAGATTGAATAGCAAGACAGGCAGCTGGAGAGATTCAGAGGCTAGGCTTGCTCTTTTTTAATAACTTGATTTTGTGAGAACTATGAAGCCAACATGAGTCTTGTCCAAGGGCACTGCTTCTGTGACCTAGTGACCTTGTTCCAGGTCTCACCTTTTCAGAGTTTCATCACCTTAACTGCCGCTTTCAAGAGCAAACCTCCAGTACATGAACCCTTGGGAGAGAAAGGACATCCAAATTATAGTGGGCGGCTTTCCTTGGTGTCTGCTGAGCCTTGGTGATTGTCTATGTTTGAGAGGTGTTAAGATCCAACTGCAGGCTGTGCAGAGGTACTACCTTTGTGGTGGGTACCTGCCCTCACTCTCTCCCTTGCAGTTCTGAAACCATACTTTAAGGAAGCTAGAAATATCTGTTAACTCTGTATTCCTTAAGTAGAAAAAATAATTTTCACATTTCTTCTTTCTTACAGCAATAATAGTACATACAAAGGGCAATTCTGGTTTCGTATAATACTGAGTTTGTAGAACAAAGTGCGTTTTATAAACAAATTTGTGCTAACAAAATTCTGATCACAGTGATTGTTTTTAGAAGCCTAGAATATTTTATCTTGTCTTATTTTTGTCCATTTGCAATATTAGTGAATGGGGATGAGGAGCTTCAGAAGCATGTAGAAACTTTGAATTATATGTGGGACATTGAGAGTTTTAAGAAAGAACACTTTGTACTGGTAAGGCCAAATGTAAGTTATCAATGCTAAATATTTTTTTTTTTGGTACCAGGGATCGAACTCGGGTCCTTGCGCTTGCACAGCAGGCGGCGAAACCACTGAGCTAAATTCTGGCCCAATGCTAAATATTTTTTAAAGGATTTGAAAACTATTTCCCTTGCTTGGACCCTTTCCTCCTTTTCTTCCTACCCTTTTTATTGCAGAGCAAAAGTTTACAAATGGAATCCCTTTCAGTAGTCTCAGAGCTATCTTCTGTAGTCTCAACTCCTTTGCATCACCTTCTCTACTGTCTTAGTTACTTTTTCTCATTGCTGAGACAAAATACTCGAGACCCAAAGTTAAAGGAGGAAAAGCTTATTTAGCTCATAATTTGTAGAGGTTTTGGTCCATAATTGGCTGCCTCCAAGGCAGGTGGCATGGCAGAGAGGCATTGCAAAGGAAAAACAGTTCTTGGTAGGCAGAAAGGTAGCAAGCAGCAAGTGACGAGTGACTGACCCTCTTTCTGTCCCTTTTATTGTATCCAGACTACTTGCCTTTAGGGCAGGTAGCACTCACACTCAGGGTGGGGCACCCTTAATCCTACCCAGAATTATACCAAACCAGTAAGTGGACTAATTTAGTAATGACCCACTCTTGTTCCCAGCATCATGCACTCTGGGTTCAGCCACTTCTGAAAAGCCTCAGCTATTACTGCATGAGGCTTTTGGGGTACATCTAGACACAAGCTATAATATCTACCATTCCAGCCCTCAAAGTATGATCAGGATGCAGGGAATACTATCCTTTCCTGTGCTTTAAAATCTAATCCTGTGCATTGAAAGATAGGCTGATAGGTTGTTTTTGAGAAAGAGCCCAGGTAATTCTTGGTGTGCATAATTCCAACATGCATGAGTTTTGGCATGCCCTGCCAGCCCTTCAGTCCACCGGTCACTACATCAGTAGCAGATGTGTAATGATCAGTGATCAAATGTCACTTCTTTCAAAGTCCGTCCAGTTGGTCATCATACATCTGTTAAACATTTCACAGACAGACAAGCAAGGTGTATGGTTGTATAATTCCTTGTCTCCAGCAATAAATCTACATACATATTTTAAAGAAGCTTGAACACTTAGTAATCAAGACAAATGGCAGCAAAAAATTAAAATGACTAGGCTGGAAATAGAATTTAAATAGGATGCAACTGGTGATATAGAAGAAATAGCTGATAATAGGGATGTTGTTACTGCTGCCATTGTAGAGACAGATAACATAGAAACTTAGTGAAGGTGAATGCAGGGGATGCTGGGACCAAGAAGCACGGGTGGAGAGTTGGTCCTGAAAATGGCGAAGAAGAAGAAGAAATGGCCACTGAAGGCTGATGAGGTCCATCTGGTAGTGAAGGAGGGAGCGGGAGAGGGCAGAAGGACTAGGGTATCTTGTCAAGAAATTTGAGGCTCCCAGCACCCAGGAGGAGGCTTCTGGGCCACCATACCGTCCCCTCCCCCAGCACACAGGAGGTGAGCCACACAGGTGCCAGCAACACCACCACCCCCCAGTCAAAAAATGAGAAGTCACATAAACAAGTCGCAAAACCAGACTTCCAGATCACCTAAAGCAACCCCAAAGGGAAATGAGATGGAACACTCTGATACGCAACCACCTGGACTCCCTAAACTGGCAAAAA